TAGGGCACGTTGGACATGGACTCCATTCCTCCTGCCAAGACTATATCCTGGTGTCCCAGTTGGATGGACTGGGAGGCTAGCATGATCGATTTCATGCCTGATGCGCATACCTGTCACGGAACAACTTGCAAATACGGTACCCTATGATCCGTTTATTTCGATAGCCTAATTGGGTGTCCATCTTCAAGAAGACGATTTTAGGGCCCGTTTTAAGAAAAAAGCCCTGCGATTGATAGGAGTTTTCCCCAGCTATTCTATGGTGACCTCGAATTTAACCTTGACCATTACCTTCAAGGTCATTTTAAGGTCAAGTCCTTTTTTAAATGAAAGCCCCCATTTTTGACGCCGTAAATGAAAAGAACGGAAAATTTTACGTTCAGATATGGTCTTGACCATACTTAAATCTTGACCTTAGGTCATGGTCATGGAGACGTTATTTTAATAATTTCTCTCCGCATATCCAATGGCGACCTTGAGTCTCGACATTATCCATGATGACCCGCAAGGTCAAGCAGATGTATCCAGATAAAAATCATGAAAGAACAGTGAAGTCAGTTTATTTTGGGGATTACACAGTTTTCTGAATTATCAAAAAATTAAGCTTTACTTAGGTCTGACCTTGATGGTCAAGTCCAAAATCAAGTTCCAAAAGTAGTCAAGGACGTATTCGGACATGAAATTTCATCCTTTCCCCATTTCCGCAGTCAAAAGTATAGGGTCCCATCAAAAAGGGATGACCTTTAAATGATCTTAAATGTCATGGCCAAGGTCAGATCCAAGGTCACCATTTGGGGGAAAATCACAAAAATAATGTCGCGGTAGTTTTCCTATACGACTACTGGCTTTCAAGTTATATCACCGTACCTTGGTCAAAATTTGACAACATTCACTAAAAGTAAAATTTTACGCTTTTTTCATTTGCGGGGTCAAAATGAGAGGTTCTATTTGAAAAAAAAATCGACTTGACCTTCAAATGACCTTGATGGTCACCATTGGATAGCTGGAGAAAACTCCTATCAATCGCAAGGCTTCGTTTTTTCATACCACTATCAGTTCACAAATTGTCGTGTGGTTCCGGAACTTTTCAGTATAATGGGTTGTCCAATAGGGACGCAGGAAAGTAAACGTCAATTTGACATAGACGCCATCTTTGTTTTCTGTCACCGACATGTCATTTTGTTAGTTGAATGTTTACCATTGATCGCTATGGAGTCGTATTCGATTGAAGACTGCATTAAAGTTATTCAAGAGCACTACAAAAATGGTGCAAAAATAAAAAACACGTTTCGCGCGCTTCGTGAACATTTCGGTCGGAACAACCGCCCAAACGAAACAACCATCGGATGTCTGGTGCGTAAATTCGAGGCAACAGGTTCTGTGGCAAATCTGCCAGGCTCTGGCCGGCCAAGGAGCGTTCGCACACCGGAAAATATTGCTGTTGTGAAGGAGAGTGTGAGAGACGATCCGAAACAATCAACAACGCGTCGATCCCAAGAATTGGGCATTTCGAGAACCAGTTTGCTCCGCATTCTCCACAAGGATTTGAATGTACACGCCTACAAGATCCAATTGACGCAAGAGCTGCGTCGGGCCGACCATTTTTCGCGCCGAACGTTCTCAGATTGGCTCCTTGAACACCGCCAAATTGATGCCAATTTTTCATTAAAAACCATGTTCAGCGACGAAGCGCATTTCACTTTGAATGGGACGGTAAACAAGCAAAACTGCCGCATCTGGACGAACGAAAATCCCCGTAAGTATCAAGAGCAGCCGATGCATCCTCAAAAAGTGACTGTGTGGTGTGCATTGTGTTCAAAAGGCATCATCGGACCTTACTTTTTCGAAAATGCGGCCGGGGACGCCGTTACCGTCAATTCTGAGCGATATCACGTGATGATAGAGGACTATTTTTTGTCGCAACTTGAAGGAATGGATATGGACGATGTGTATTTCCAACAAGACGGTGCAACATGCCACACAACCAACGTCAATATCCATCGATTGCAGTCCTTCTTCGGTGATTGCGTGATTTAGCGCAGAGGAAATGTGCCATGGCCACCAAGATCGTGCGATTTGACTCCCTTGGACTTCTTTTTATGGGAATATTTGAAAAGCAAAGCCTACGTCAACAAACCAGCCACCCTCCAAGAACTCAAAAACAACATCATTGCCGAGATAAATGCCATAGAACCCACCATGTTGCAAAATGTCATTGAAAATTTTGACCATCGCGTGTACGTCTGTAAATCCAGTCGTGAACATTTGAGCGATATTATTTTTCATACATGAATGGTATAGATGAACCTTCAAAATAAAGTACCCAACTTGATTTGAATATCTTTCTTGTTTTAATATGCGTTTACTTTCCTGCGTCCGTTTTGGACAACCCCATAGTAGTACTATTATCAAAAGGCATTTTTTGAATCTCCGCCAGTCGCGTTCGTACAGAATCTTCTTATTTTGGCAGACATTGATGGTAAGCTACTGATTTCTCTTAAAATTAAAATTATTTTTGAAATCCCTGTTCAATTCTAAGCTGATTGCTTGATATTTTTCAGTCTGATGCATGGCTTTTGCTAAAAAAATCGATACAGTTTCTCTGCATAAACATAACAATATTGTAACGCCCTCGTATAGTTGGAGCCTTGAGCGGCGAGTTGTTTGGCAGAGTCGCAGCTTAGGCAACCAGAGTTACGCGACCACGTATACAGCGTGCTTGCATTCTAGACGGCTCGCGACGTAATCGCGAATATTCGAAGTAGAATCTTGTTTACTCCCATGGAAGTTCACGACTCTGCCTGGAAAACGCTAAAACATTTTTCGACACGTCGATAAGTGAATAAATACCCGAGTAGATGGCGAAAGCGTTAGTCTCAGTCGAGACGTAGTCGAGACCGTTAGCGAGTGGAAAGATGGAATAATAGTCCTGTCGACATACCATAGTTATAAATTTGTTATAAATTATTTTTGAGTATTATAAATTAGTGTAGCAGTAATAAAATAGACCTTGAACAGTAAAACGGTAATTTCGTTAGAATATAGTTATATAACAATATTTCCATGCAGAGAATTTTTTTAAGATGAAAAACGTGCGTCGTTTTAAAAAAAATAAGAGATCAAATCTGCTCATAAATGAATACATACATATTCAATTTTTGTCATTTTAAGAAAAGTCAGTTTCGTACTACTGCCCTATTTTTGAAAACTTGATCAAGCTGTATCTCAATAGTAAAGACGTTCATGTGAAGTTTTCGCCCCCCAAATAATGACATTCAATTAGACGTCTTATCTTGAAAAAAATAAGGGCATCGTTAGTACTCATTCGGTACTTTCTGCGACGGCATAAATTCCGGATTTTGATTCTGAAATAGCCCAGGAATATTAAAGTGTTTATGCTAAAATTGCCAGTTACCTAGATTTTTTGGCAGAAAAACTCTAACATTTCTCAGGAATTCGAAAAATATTGTACACATGCTATGGTACAGATGCAAACCTTGTTAACAGTAGTACAGATGGTCGAAGTGGGTAGCCCCGCGAACAATGTGGCCTGCCTTGCAGGTGCTTGCCCCACTCCCCCCTGACACACGTTGCCCATGAACACCTCCTGAACCTGGTCCTTGCGCAAGCCTGCCCTTTCCACTGCGGCCCCCACAGCGACGGCCCCCAGTTTCCCTGCAGGAAGGGAAGCCAAACTGCCCAGGAATGAGCCCATAGGTGTTCGTACAGCTGAGACTATCACGACAGAACTACTGCCCTTGGTGCTGTACAATCTCCTGGTTACGGACGTTGTTGTCTGAAATAGACGTAAAGCTCGATATAAACGAGTCACCTCAATGTGACTTTCGATTTTTTCAACCACTGTTAGGTATACTCCCGAAGAGGACTCGATAGTTGAATCCAAACTTGTATTCATTTAATTTAGCCTTTAATATCCTTTAACCTTTTTAACGTTGGGGTCAGAGTTACTTTACGGAAAGTGTACTTTCCAGAAGAAACGCGATTTGAAAGTGGTGATTTATCAGAAAGCAGGCCGGTCCCTAGGGGTGAAGTAATTCCAGGCCAGAGCGGCCTTCGGAGTCTTATTAACGGTTGATGACAAACTAAATAATAGCGGAGGATAGATGTCATGATTCCGAAAAAAATTTTATCTGGTCTTGGGGGCATTAGAAGCACTAATTTTGTTACTTTGTAGATACGATATAATTCTCAAAATACAATTTTTCTTAGCTCTGGAGCCTCTGTAAAGGTGTTCTGAGGTACCTTTCGTTCGGAAACCCCAATATTTTTTAAACATCTAAGTAGATACACCTACATGTTTCAAGCTCAAAAAAAATGTTGGAGTGAAAACAGATAATGCAAGATATTCCCCCGTGGGTACACACGTCCAGTACCCACGCCTCCAGCATGATGGGTGGGAGGCAAATGCCCGAAAATTAAACGAAATTTTTAAAAAGTTTTCCGAGTACCCCTTTCCCCATTTCCCCAACAACAAGGAAAGTCCCCGGACTTGGCTTTGGTCTTAGGCCCCTTATTCTGCCGCAAGCCCAGAGCTTCCTATGTGCAGAGGGGCCCCTACATAACTTAAAGGCAGCACTGCAGGCAAGCCAAGAATAGTTAACCTAACTTTTAAGAGTTAGTTGGTAAGGTTAATTTATGGCAAAAGTGCGTATTTTTTCAATTTGCTATATCGGTATTCATCTTTATTAATTCAAAATCAATCTATCATTCATGAACATTATATTTTACAGTTAATTTTTCAAGCAATCGATAAGTAATAAATTACCTTTATAAAGTTTGTATGAACCATTTTTGCTGAAATGTCTTAAATGTATCACAGATTTTTCAGTCTTTCTTTTACGGCACTACTTTTTCTTTTGTGGCGATCACACGGATAATTTGCCGTGTGTAACCTATAGCCTGATATGCTGATTAGGATAAAAATAAATAATAAAATATTAGTGGGGGGCTTCAGAGCAAAGTTCAAAGATTGTGTTTTCAAATCAATATATTATGTAAATCACATGTAAATGATTCTCTCGCATTACAAAATTCTGTAGAAAGCAAAGACATAAACAACTGGATTGTTTAATCTCACGATTATTTTCGTTTTTCGGCCACCTGTAATAGATAAAAAATGTTATGACATGACCCAAAATATGGCCCGTTGAAAACAAGGCGTGAACGTGAACAAGGCGTGGTTTCACAGGTAATATGGAGAAGACGCCAATTTCATGTGACATAAACTGCAATCCGCATTTCCACCATTTACCTAGGATTTCCAGTCCATTGTGGATATAGATCTGGACTGCTAGTAACACCATGACAGCTATCAGTTTTCAAATCTAGGGAGGAAGATGGCGAATATGTGTACCTGTCTCCATACCTGATGGACGTTAAAATCTTTCGTATTGACATCTTTGGCATTTGACAGTGACAACAAAAACCTAACCTATTTTGAATTTGAAATTTTGAAATTCAGTCATTCAGTAGATGTGTAGTGTAGTATATTAATAATCTGTGAAATGTAATTTCCTTCAATTTAAATTCCGAAATTCAACAGGATTCTGTTACTATTGTTACAGAGGAAAATAAGATCAGATAAAGAGATATTACAAAATGGTAAGTTTATACCTCTCTGCAAAACGTATACTTATAATGTTTTTCCAATCCACATATTCTCACTGTAAAGTCCACCGTGTGGGTCGACTGTTTGCAGATATGTGTGTTCTACCTGCGAGGTGAGAAATAGAAATGCACTTCAAAACAAAGCTGTTTTCAATATAACATGTCTATTTTTAAATGCATCCAAGCATTTAAAAATAGGGCTGTGTACTTTATCTTAAAAATAACACCTGAATATGTGGGTTGATCCGATTCTAAATTGTTCACCTTTGAAATCCTGTTATTCATTTCTGTTCGAAGGAAGGTGAAATGTTGAAAACTCGTGATATTGCACCAGGGGATCTACTGTTCAAAGAAAAACCCTTTGTGTATGTACTGTCTTCTCGGTTTAGGACTGAAAGATGCGACAACTGTTTGAAAAAGTAAGCACGTAACTAATCTTTTTAGCTATTATACACAATAGAAACTCATATATGGCCACTTCTTTGTCCACAGAGCATTGGTGTGGTACCTTAGTATTTAGGTATTTGCTGTCATTGCTTCAGTATTAAAAACAAATATAGTATATGTTTGTATTAATTCCTAGACCTATTGTCTGTGAGATTTCTTAATTATTTATATACATATATATATATATATATTTTTTTCTTTTTCAATTCAAGGAATGACCTGTTAAAATGTTCAGGCTGCCACTACACATTTTACTGCAATAAATTATGCCAAAAAGATGGATGGGCAATACATAAGCTGGAATGCAAATATTTGAAAAGTATAGGTCCTAGAATTCTGCCTGATGCGGCTAGAATGCTCGCTAGGATTTTAAAAATCTTGGAGAAAGGTGGTGGCACTAGAAAAACCTACTATGACCAAGATCATTGCAGAACTTTTAAGGACTTGATGTCTCGTGAGTATGATTTTTTCTCATGTTTATTTTATAGGCAAATTCTGAAGAACTTGAAAAATGCTTCAAAATTTGGAATCTATTGTTCCTCTAATATTAGCCACAATAAAATACAATATTTTTTGTCTAGGAATTATATTTTATGTTTTGGATTTGAAGAAAGAGATAGAGGTATATTTGATTGAAACAAAAATATTTTGCAGATTATGATAGAATAAAAGAAGACCAACTCAGGGTTGAACATGTAACATGCTTATATGGTGTGTTGTTTGAATATTTTAATGGAGAAAATGTTCCATCTTCTGCAGAACTTATGGAAATATATGGAAAAGTAAGACTCTTCATGTCTTTTCTGCTTGAGAGTATACTGGAAAAATATGTATTGTTGTGTTTTAGATGTGTATAAACTCTTTCAATATCTGCTCGCAGGAACTGCAAAGTGTTGGTACTGGAATATATTTAGGAGCCTCTATATTAGATCATTCTTGCAAGCCAAATGTAGTGGCAACATTTGAAGGTACTGAGATCGTTTTGAGAGCACTTGAGAAAATTCTGTTTTGGATTGGTCTAAGGTTAGTCATCTTATCATATATTTTAAATGGAAAATTTTGGTAAACCAATATAGAAAAAGTCTATCGATATAAAGGTAAATAAATCCTGTTCTATCAAATTTTTGTTTTAGATGTTCATAAGTTACATAGATGTGATGGCTCTCAAGAAGGAAAGACAGTCAGAACTGGAGTCTGCATACTATTTTCTCTGCCAATGTCCCAGTTGTGTGGAACCAGAGCCTATAGTCGAAATGATGGGCATGGCATGTCCAAATAAACAATGTAAAAACTGTATTGATTCTACCTGCATCAAACCTGGTCAGAAATGTTCCAAATGCAAAACAGAGATCAAGGAAGAATTTATCAGGGAATTCAATGATATCATGGACATGACTAAGATGCATTTGGATAATATGAAGGGATCGACATCATGTATCCTTTTGTCAAATGTAGTACTCAAAATCATTAAAAAATATTTCCTTAGCAGCAACCTTTGTTTGATTGATAAACATCAAAAAGCAAACTCAAATTTGTTTTTTTTTTTTCATTAGATTCAGCTTCTTCATTGTATAGATTTCCTGAATGATTATCTGTCAAAATCACTCCATGTTTCTTTTTTTTTATCTATAGCTTATTGATTTTATATCATAGAAAAGTGTAGGCCTTAACTTTCGGTTAGATTTGGATGTGTGTAAAGTTTGCTTGAAGAACCATGAAGGACTACTGTATAAATATAATATCAGACACGTGAAAATCCTAGATTTGGCATTCGACAGTTGCATAGATTTTGGAAAGTTTGATGATGCTACCCAATATGGACTCAAATTAGTAAATAGTTTCCAGTAAGTACCAGTCTGGTAATTTACACAGCTTGAATCGATGTCTCAAAGATCCGGTCCAGTCTCTTCTTTATACACTTTAAAGCAGGCCTCTCAAACTCGAACACTTGGTGCGCTCCGGTGCTGAACCCAGCGGCACCGGTGCCGTTCCCCCTCCACCTCGACCGCACATCCGTCGCGACAGAGACAAACATATTAGCCGACTGTCTTAATAGGACAAGGACAAAGTGGACAGGTTTTTTAGCGTCTTAACATGCATCTTTTTTTAAATGATGTCATTCAATCCTGCATGGAAGAAGCCTATTTTTTGTAAATATTGATGGAAAAGCAAAATGTTTGAGTTGTCACACGGTATTGAGGCCAGCCATTCTAAGTTCTGAAGAGGTAATTATTAATTTGGTCGTAGTTGATTATTATCAATGGTGTCGTAATGTAATGCAAGTTATGTTGTTGCTTTGAACTTGGTGCAGATTTAAAAGAACAACTGCCGGAAAATGTGCCCATTTTGTGCAGTATTCTACAGCGCTCGATGAAAGTAAAGACATTTCTGACACAGCATAATTACCTGTTTTCGTTAGAGGTGTTGAAATAGTCTTTACTATCACCGACGAACTACTAGACGTTATCCCACTCAAAGATACAATGGCCGGAGAAGATATTTTTGATGCTGTAGAATACACAATGAATCACATGGGTATACTACTCAAAAGTTTGCGTAGTGTTGTTACTGATGGAGCGCCATCAATGTTATCGGAAGCACAAGGTTTTACTCGGCGAATGAAAATAAAAGTACGCGACGCTGGGCTACCTCCGATATCATGGGTACACTGCATATTACATCAGGAACAACTATGTGCAAAAACCTTCCGTAATTTCAAATCTATTATGGATGTAGTAATAACATGTGTCAATTTCTGCAGAAACCAAGGTCTCAACCACGGCAGTTTGAAGTATTTTTCAAACACCTAGAAGCAAGTTACGGTGACATACCCTAAAGATTTTTTTTTTTAAATCACTGACGACGTTGAGATGTTTATGCAAATGAGATTTTTACGACGCCATCTTCACTGCTTTTCGAAACAGAACCGCTGCAGTTCCAAATGGAGCTGATTAAGCTTCAATGCGATACGATCCTTAAGGATAGATACTACCTCTACAATAGTAATTTAATTTCGTTTTATCAAGGTGTTAAGCAGCAAGATTTTCCCAAAATTCTTGCACCGGCCTTGGAAACTTGCTCCATGTTCGGTAGAATGTACTTCTGCGAGCAGATGTTCTCTTTAATGAATTTGAACAAAACTGAAAACAGGTCTTTGTCTGATGTGTCCTTAGAGGCGATACTCAGAAATTCCACTGCTCAAGCCACTGTACCAAATACAGGGTCCGCCAAAGGAACCTGACGTTTTCAGAATGGATAGTACGAAGCTGTTTTTTGACGTAGAACATCGGTTACAGTGGGCAAGACATCGGTAGTAGATGCCATTTCAATTTCAGTAGTCATGGAGCTGTGGTCAAGTGAACATCGCGCATTTTTGTTGTCGAGACGTATTTTAAAAATCACGACTCGGTGATCATTACACAGCGTCTATTTCGTACACATTTCAATGTCGGACGTCATGGTTCTGTTCCATGCCGTAACACAATTAAGTTGTGGGTAAAAAATTTTCGTCGATCTGCATCAGCAATGAAAGCTAAGCCACCAGGAATGCGTCGAACAGTTCGGACTCCAGCCAATATTGAGAGGGTGCGAACAGCGGTGCAGCAAAGTCCACGTCGTTCAGCTAGGCTACAAGCAATTAGTCTAAGGCTTTCAGAAACAACAGTGCGGCGTATTTTGCATAAGGATTTACATTATCACCCTTACAAATTAGCGATGGTTCAAGAACTGACAGCTGAAGACTTTGTGAACCGTTTGACTGCAAGCAACCAGCTTCTGGAACTTTTGGATGAAAACGCTTTAGGTGGCTTAATTATGTCTGATGAGGCGCATTTCGAGTTATCAGGCTACGTAAATAAGCAGAATTTTGGCTACTGGTGTGCAGAAAACCCGAGAGAACTTCACCAGCGACCCATTCATTGTCGCAAGGTTACTGTTTGGTGCGGAGTGTCGCGATTCGGCATAATTGGACCCTATTTTTTTGAGGACGATGCTGGAAATTCTGTCACGGTCAATTCGCAACGTTATCTGGAAATGTTAAACACATTTTTGGAACCAGAGCTTCGTCGACGGAACATAGATTTAAATACTGTATGGTTTCAGCAAGATGGCGCCACAGCGCATACAGCACGAGCAACAATGGTTCGACTGCGAGAAATGTTTCCAGGAAGAGTCATTTCGCGGAATGGAGATGTTCCTTGGCCGCCAAGGTCTCCCGATCTCACGGCTTGTGACTATTGGTTATGGGGTTATCTCAAAAGCAAGGTATATTTAACGAGCCCAAGGACCATTGAAGAATTGAAGGAAAACATTCGCAATGAAATTAGCGCGATTTCGATGAGTATGGTACAGCGCGTAATGGGGAATGTGCGAAACCGTTTGGAAGAGTGTGTCCGCAGTGAAGGACATCATTTGACTGAAGTTATTTTCCATACATAAAATGGCATGTAATACACTTTCGATTACTTTTATATGAAAATAAATATCTTGAAAGATACCTTTGTAGTTTCATATTGAAACTCATCAGGTTTCTTTGGCGGTCCCTGTATTAGAAAACCTTTTGAATCCAAACGCTGTCAAAGACCATCTTAAGAATAAATGTGTTTACGTCGAAATTATGAACATTATTTTATCACCCGCGCGTTGACTCGATCAGACCAATTCAAATGTCAATACGAATGTCACTCCACTCATTTTCCGTTGGGGCCGGGAGCCGGCAAAATTAAACCTTATCGCGGATTCGACTAAACTTAGTATTGATATCTAGTTTTTAAGTAAATGAACAAAAAGGGCTTGGTATGCCGATGAAAATACCTGTCATATCGACTTGAAGATACAACGTGACGGTAGAATTTTACCATAACCTATACGTATATCAACGGTCATGACGTTTCATATTCATTTTACATAATACTTTCAAACATCTAGTAGCCTGGTGTCAAACTGACAGAGTCAAATGAGATTTTAAATGCAAGCATGAAGCATACAAACAGGATGTATTATTTTTATCTATTTGCATTGCCTGCTATAGCTTTCAGTCGGTACGACAGAAACTTCTGGCGAAAATCAGCTTGTCATACCATGTTTTTCCAAATAAGCCTAAAATTTCCATCAAACCTTGTAGGCTTCATTGGATTCGGTGATGACGGTGAAATTCTCTTGTCACGCTGTATCTTCAAGTCGGTATGACAGGTACTTCTACGTCTTACTGAGCTCTTCTTGTTCATTTACTTAGGCCCGTATCGTCAGTCGTCCCTACAATTTTAGGGCTCCTTTATGGCCTCCTTGATTGTCATAGTTTTCTACTCCGTGTCAGAACTCTATTTTGAGGTTATGTCACAAACATCTATTTGCATCAAATTGTGCTTGCTTTTGAGTTATATCATGTTTTATCAGCCTGAAATTTCCTACAATTTAAAATTCACAATAGGAGAGCGCTGACGCTGACACGGGACAAGTGTAATCTAGAAATTTTTGAAGGAGAGAAAGGAGTATGACAATCAAGGAGGCCATAAACGCGCCCTACAATTGTAGGGACGACTGACGATACGGGCCTTAGAAACTACATATTATCCCTCCCCCACCTTCACGGAGTCAACCTCGGCGCTGCACTGGTAGCACCTGAGTTGGAGAGGCCTGCTTTAAAGGAACAATCCTGTTAGTTTTCTTATTTTTAATTTTACAGCAAATATTATGGAAAAAAACATCCACTGACTGGGCTGCTACATTTGAAACTGGGAAAACTGCTAATGTACCAAGATCGCGTTAAAGAAGCAGTGAAACATTTACAGGAAGCAAAATCTATCCTACAAGTGACGCATGGTATCACCAGTTCTTTGTTTAGAGAACAATTTATACCATTGTACAAAGAAGCTCTGAATACCTACGAACGTATCATCTCTGGTTGAATCTGATGGTTTTGTTGAAAGAGATATGTCATGAAAACTTTTCAAGTAGCTCAAACCTAGCAATTGTATGAATTCAGAGTCTATCGTATATGTAGGACCAAAATCTGGCAACATTGCTTACCTAAGTGGACATTTGGAAGATAAAGTCGCGAAAGACTAGTAAGATATCGAGATAGTGTTGCCTTTTTTATAACATACCAATGTTATGTTGTCTCCTATGAAACATTCACTGACAGCCTAGGGTCTTTTAGGTGTTTAAATGAAACTATAAATTGTGTTAAATCATCTATTTTACACATTCTTGCATTCTGTGATCAAGATAAGATGCATTAAATGTTCATAAGAAAATAAACTATTTTACAAAAAGAAACTACCTATCTTACAAATAACATCTCAAAGGCAGCCATAACTAAACTAAATACTTGGTAACAACTGAAAGTGATTCTCATAAATTGTGATACCATTACTGTACATATATTTGTCTATGACATAATTATGAATATGTTTTATACAATATGTATACTTTTTATATAATAAACTAAATAAGCGACATTGAGTATCATTTCTTAAATAACAAATTATTTTTTAGTAATATACAGTACTTTGGTTCTTTGTCAGTCAAGCTTCAAATTCTTCGGCGGAATATAGTCCGGATCTGTATCGTCTGCGAGCTCCAACGGAGAAGGAGACTGCCTCTTCATAGGAGTGGCTATTTCCAATTTCTTGTGGATTATCTGAAAAATAGATAGAACTACTAGGTGCGCCATCTATTACTTTTTTTACCTATAAGTTTATGTGAGTCAAAAGTCATGTGGTATGCATAACCGCACTGTCAAAGGTATGCCATTTATAGTAATGGATTCGTCTACAACACAACAACGCATTTTGGTTATCCAAACTTATTACGAAAACGGTCGAAATATAAAAAATACTTTTCGCAAACTTCTCACTAGTTTTGGCCGACACGGACGCCCTGCAGAGCCAGGAATTCGTTGGATTGTTAATCGTTTTGAGGAAACTGGTTCAGATGAAGTTCGTAGACCATACCAACATGCTCGTCCAGCTCGTACTCGTAAAAACAAAGCCGCAGTTAGTGAAAGTGTGCGAGAAGATCGAACCACCTCGACTAGGCACCGTTCGCAACAATTGGGAATTAGTGAGACCACTTTACGCCAGATTTTACACACTGATTTACACCTTCATCCATACAAAATCCAACTAACACGACAATTAAAGCCGGCAGACCATCAACAGCGGCGTGTTTTTGTTAATTGGATGCTGGAAAGAGAAGACGGATTTTCGGCCAAAGTGCTCTTTTCTGACGAGTCTCATTTTCACCTCAATGGTTACGTAAATGAGCAAAATTGCAGATTCTGGGGGGCTGAAAATCCACACCAATATTATGAACAACCTCTCCATCCTGAAAAATGACTGTTTGGTGGTGCGGATTATGGGCTAGTGGCATCGTTGGGCCATTCTTCTTTGAAGATGCCGAAGAAAAGGCCATTACCGTCAACGGGAACGTTATCGCGGCATGTTAACAGACTTTTTGTGTCCACAATTGGATCGTATTGGTGCCGATCTTTGGTTTCATCAAGACGGAGCAGCGGCTCACAAATCTCGCACAACAATCGCCTTATTGCACACGCAATTTCAAGACCGCATAATTTCACAAAATTCAGATGACATGTTGGCCCTCGAGATCGTCCGATTTAACACCTCTTGACTATTTTCTTTGGGGATTTTTAAAAGCAAAAGTGTATGCGAATGGTCCCCGGACAATGCAAGTCCTAAAGCGCAATATTCGGACTGAAATTGCGGCCATAGACACGATTATTCTGGGAAAAGTCATTGAAAATTTTGATGTTCGGATGTTGGCACGTAAACGAAGCCGCGGTGGTCACATGACTGATGTTATTTTTCATACATAAATGGCATAAACCAACCTTCATTTATCAATAAAAAAATTCGATTTCACATCGTAAAAAGCGTGATTTTTCAAATAGAAAAAAAGGTAATAGATGACGCACCCTAGTTGGCGACTTAGAGAACATCTGATTTTAAAGTTGTTTTCGCTAGAGCTGTAGCTACTTGTTGGTGGATAACAAAAGTAGTACCCACCTGTGCTGCACACGCTTTCTCAACGCCTGGCGGTAAATTCGGTTTTGGCACTGCTGTTGCTTTTATTTCATTCTCTAAATCAATCAATTCTACGATCGATGACTGTCCAGCCATTTTCATTTTTCTTGGAGATTCTTGGTGAAGCTAGAAATATAATATAAAAGATATACAGGGTGACTAAATATGCTGCTTTTGTCAGTCAGACCGATGACAGACAATCATGGACAATTGTTTCGTGCTTTTTTAGCAACTCATCAGCACGGTCTAGGCTTGGTTTCTGGACAACGAACAAAAGCATAGCAACTATTCTATATCCAAGGTGTGAGATTCATTGAAATAAGACATCTATTACCAAAATCGACCATTGCGAGTGTGGAGCAGCTATGGTAATACTTCTAGGGCAGAAAGTAGATCCAAAAATAATACAAAAAATTTATATAAACACCCTCCGTAAAATTCTTGCTGCTTTAGAAAGATACGAGTGTTGAAATTTAATTAAGAAATCTAGTGATATAAATCTCCAAAGTGGATAAAGCTTGTAATGTGCCGCCATTTCTACTTGTTATGATGCTTGAGTAGACAAAAGTTGTATACCTTTTTAATTGTGACATCTGGCGATAAACATTGTATCTTCGTCGGAGTAGGCTTTTGTTCGGGACTGACTTTCTTCGAGGACAGGATAATCTTCGTATACTTTGGTGACGGCTTACCAAACGTCACAGGCGTCGTAGATTTTTTCAAGCCGGTCGAAGTGATTATGAAATTGCTTTGGTTAGCAGGCCTATTCAACACCATGTATTTGCCTGAAGGTGTCGATGGAATGACCTGATAAAAATAATTATCGCAATAAACGACAGTTTTAGTGGAATGTTCATCAAGGAAGGTCTCATGGCTCATACATAGACAGTCATGGATGCATTTTCCAAAATCCTTATTTCGGCGTAACAATTAATGTGTTTCACGTTTTTCTATTAATGAGACGGAACAAAAGTTGTGCTCCAAAGTTCGATCCGCGTGGCCTACTAAGTTTCTATATGCAAAACTTAACAGACATTCCTCGTAGGAAACCATATACTCAGGCGGATCTGAAACTCGGGCGCTGGTGTGTGTCTTTCGAATATTCCTATGTAAAACATGCATCCGCAATTCTCGCATAAACCATTTGTTTCGAAATACAAACAAGAAATTTTGGCATATGAAGGTAAAATAATCGCTATCCAATTTGCTCAAAAACAGTTTACATCAAGCATCTGTGAATTTAACTCATTCAGTCTTACGGTTAGGCTCATGTTGCTTTTGATATAACGGAAGAGTTCGATCAATTGTCGCATGCTGCCCACGTATGCAAACTTCCCTCCTATAGTCTCCCAGAGAATCTTTGCATATGGGTGGTTGGCTTCCTCTTTGGTCGCAATTGACGGACGGGTTCTCCTCCCGAACCCACAATGTCAACTCGGGTGTTCCCCAGGTATCGGTCTTGGCTCCGATATTGTTCCTCTTGCATATCAACCACCTCATTTCCTGTACGATCAATCCGAGCCACAGCCTTGCTGATATCAGCACTTTACACGCAGGAATTCAAAGAGACAAGCCGATCTCTGGCGATGAGCTAGCAGTATCTTCCTCTCTGACAAGAGACTTGAAAGTTATCACTGCTTGGAGACGCAACAATTCGTTACAGTTTAATGCTTCCAAAACACAGTACTGTACCCTGACTAACGGTCACGGCGCTACTAACCTTACGCAGTTAAAAAAGCGGAGTAACAAAGTTTTTTCAAGTCATAGTGACCTAGTATTTAGGCTTCTGCGTCGGTATAAAAATAATTAGTCTGTTGCACTTCAAATCGCCCTATTCCCTAGCCTAAATACCCACCTTGGTAGCTGGCGGAAGCGCAGGTTTCGCAATCGCCATGGTTACCGGCGTGGCAGTCGAAACAGCCGCGATAGACGCGGCGGCAACAGGTTGCGATGTCGACGAGGTACCAACCGTACTACCCAGATCCTCCCCAATATTCGTCGGCTGGATAATCTGGTTGTCATCGGCGAAGATGATCGGTAGATCCAAAATGTCTTGGGTGGTAAGATTCGTGGGCGGAGGCAGGATCTGTTGGGGCGGTACGGAAGTAGCGGTGCTGGACACGGGCAGGTAAGGCTTCTTTATGGGGCGTGGTCTGGAGCCTAGCAATTGGCGCTTGGCGGTGATGAATTTGTTGCCTGGCGGTGGGCCGATGGCTGTCGAAAAAGAGAGCAATCGTAGGTATTCGATAGTTTGAAACGGATGAGATAGTACATGCTGGTCATGCAGTGCTTATATCTATTAGGAAACGTAAGTATGAAGCTGAGGTAAAGAATGTTTGGCTCAAACAGGAAAAGATGAGAAAGAAGCTTTTAGAGGCATATAGCATTTCGATGATAAACTCAGGACGATTCGGTTTATTTAGGCTAAATATCAGCGAAGTGAAAAACTAAACATAGGCAACCAGTTGCACGGAACTGCTCTGTTACTATCGTGTTTTTATTTTCAATAATCCCTTTATATCTGTCTAGGAATCTCTCAATCAAATGCATCTTCTTCTCGCTAAACTTCTTTTTTTTCACAGTCACACATTATAATTAACAGTAATATAAAATTTGGGTATAAAATGTTTTTGAAATACTGTTATGGTTGTGCTTTTGAATTCAGTTGTGACGCTCCCGAACTACTCTAGCAAATGTGCACGGGAACGCGACGATAAAAACCTAGCCTGTTTTTGATGTTTTGGTTTGACGTTGACGATTTGTATCACACTGCAATCAATGAAAATGTAAACACATTTTGCCTTTATTTTCAGAAGCATTGTCAGACTATCCAGTTCATGCCTGATGATGGCGCAACACGTGTAGAATTCATATTTTAGTGTAGACATTCAAAATTATTTCCAAAGTGTCTTGTTATAGATGAAGCGAACTACAAGCCAGTATGAACCTGCATTCTTGCACTCGCTTGTGATGAGGAGCATCTCAAATGTACGTTGTGACTCTGGGTCATATCATTATCAGTTTTTTACCATTCTACATTGTCTCCTATCGGTTTAATGTGAGTTTAATGCAAAAAGAAACAATAACGATAAAAAAACATAACTTAACAATCTTGACACATTGTCATTTTCGTTATCCCCACTATTTCGGAGCGTATAACACCGAGTAAAACGCTGGTGCGTGAGGGGGCAGGGTTTTTAAAAAATGAGTAGCTCACGTGCATGACACTCTAGAGCACTGGAACGGTATTGACAGATGGTGGGTAGCTCCGAGTTACTCCGAGTAACACAAATGAGGCACTGGAAAGCGGCTCAGCAGAGCAGTTCGGTGCAACTGGTTGCCTATATACATTTGTATTTCTCTGTGATTGCTCTGTAATTCGAAAAAGCAAACATTATTATTTTGCATTGTTTATTGATATTTAATGTTATCATCGAAGTGCTAAATGGATACGGCCAGCAAAGAAAACTCTTTCGGAGATCGATGACAGCTGGTGAAGAAAACTTTTACATCGTTTTGGAATCAAGTCATTTTATGGAAAGGTAAGTCATGTGGGTAAGAGAGACATCAAGCACCACCACATCTTTAAGAAGTAAATGCATGCACAGGAACAGAACATGCTTTAATAGTCAACAACATCAAACTATGGTGAAATGAAGTTAACGGTCTGACCCAATGACGCACCTAATGTAGAAATATTTTGGTACATCGTAACACAATGAGACCCACGAAGGCATTATTTAAAAAACTCGTCTTTTGTTATTTTTGACAATTACGTGTTTTTTACAGTATGTGTTTTCTTTTTATAAACGTGGTCTGTGTGTATTGTGTATGTATAGTGTGGTTGTTTTTATTGGAGTCTAAGAACAATTGATGTTTCAGTGAGGTAATTTTTATTTTTCATTTTACTGACACTGACACGTCTTGCATGTACAAAGGGTACTATAAAAGTTTTACGATGCGGAAACTGTGCAAATCCACAGGGAGCAAGATCTGGACTGTAAGGAGAGTGCTCAATAAGTTTCAATCCAGTAGTGGTCACACACTCGGTGCAGGCTTTGGTGCGGTGAGCTGGAAGATTGTCATGGTGGAAGTACCAAGTGTCCATTCTTTGGCAGCAGGTTTTTCATAGAGTCTATGACTTTAGGCAGGCACTATTCCGTGTACCACTTAGCTGTGATTGTCTTCTGTGTGTCCAAAACGACACGTTCCACAAACCCTCTCGATTTGAAAAATACATCTATCATTTTTTTCTTAACAGACCGGGATTTTCTGACAGCTACGGGTGTGCCATTAAACTTGATCGGCAAATCGTAATAATAGAGCCAAGTCTCGTCACCTATGCAGTACCCAGAGAGAACAAAGTTTCCGTACGTGTGAATGATCATGCAGAATTGAATGAATTGCTGGTGCATGAAGGTGTAAGGTCTCCTCTATGTGTTGGCACGTCACTCTAAGGTCTTCGCCAAGCATTTTCCTCACAACAGTAATGTTTTCCTCTGTTACTGACGTTCGCGACTTTCCTTCTCTCTCAGCGTCCTCAAGAGTGAAATTACCCCTTTGGAATTCTCTGTACCACCTGAATATAGTCGTACGATGAGGTTAATCATACTTTAATGCGAGCGCCATTTCTTCTAAAAACTGGTCTATGCTTAAGCCACGCGTAAAGTTATACAGTAAAACGGCCCCTACGTGACCATGATGCCAAAGACCGCACTTTACACAGTCAATACGAATGAACAACTAAATCAACAGACCGGCTGGCAGCTACTATGCACTCATGGACATGTCTCAACATGCAGTAACATACAACCTCCTGCGTTCGTTTCTTAGCCATATTGCAAAACTTTTATAGTACCATTTGTATAAGTTTTTTTAACTGTCATTATTCAATTGTCAATTAAATAAACAATATCTATCTACGTTGCCAGTCTCATCACTTAATTTACAGACCTCGTATGAACGTGATTTTAGGCCCGTATCGTCAGTCGTCCCTAGAATTGTAGGGCGCGTTTATGGCCTCCTTGATTGTCATACTCCTTTCTCTCCTTCAAAAAATTCTAGATTACACTTGTCCCGTGTCAGCGTCAGCGCTCTCCTATTATGAAGATATGTTTTCTTTTTAAATTGTAGGAAATTTGAGGCTGATAAAACATGATATAACTCAAAAGCAAGCACAATTTGATGCAAATAGATGTTTGTGACATAACCTCAAAATAGAGCGCTGACACGGAGAAGTAGAAAACTATGACAATCAAGGAGACCATAAAGGCGCCCTACAATTCTAGGGACGACTGACGATACGGGCCTTAGACGCTAGGTGAAACCACTTACAGGGTTACCAGATTGGGGGATTTTCCCCCAAATTTGGGGTATTTTTCATTGCTTGGGGGAATTTTTGGGGGTATACAATGCGTGGGGGATTTTTTGGGGGAAAATTATTCCGTTTTGGGGTTTTTTTGGGGTGCGATTTTAAGAAGACATTCTGTCGTTCGACCAATTTTCAAGTTTCAATTGAATTATTGGAATTCGAGAACAACTTTGAATAAATATAAATTCATTTACAGATAATCCTGCCATCTTTCAACAACTATTAAAATTATTCTGAAGCACCTACATTACAGTTTCCTGCAATAGCGGCAAAATATTATTTTGTTTTTGTGCGTTAGATGGCGCGATTAAATAAGTGTTTCTCATCTATGTGAAACCCAGAGAATCGTGTAACTTTATTTCCTTTCCTATCATTAACTTTATAGGCTATATTTCTTTTACTTTGGAGTGTTCAATACGCATGGTTTATCCAAATTAGTGTTGTACGTGTCAATCTAAATATGCCTAAAGAAAAGGAGTCGTTATATACCCGAAAATACCGAGTTGCTTGGGAATCCGATGCTGAACTTAAAGGTAATCTATTGAAATTTTGATGGTGTGGGTTATTAATTATAATTCTTCATTCCATATAGGATGGATTGGACCTGTATAAGCAGATGAGACAAAGTCGCTTTGTAAGATACGTAAATGTACTTTAGCTGCACATAAAAAAGACTTACTGCTTCACGGTAAAAGTAAGAAACATCAAGAGGCGGAGAAAAGATCATTGGCTGGCCCGAGTAAAAAAATTACTGAGTTTATGAAAAAAGGTTTGACCGCCAGCAGGAAAATAGCAGAATTAAAAATTGCTGCATTCATATGTGAGCACTGCTCACTTGCAACAATTGATCATCTTGGATCACTTTTAAAAAATTTAGATAAATCATCTGAAATATTAAATGACGTTAAATTACACAAAACTAAATGTACATCTTTAATATTGAATGTGTTGGCTCCTTCAATACTAAATGACTTACTTTTGGATGTTGCAGATAGTAAATATTCATTGATTATAGATGAGAGCACTGCAGTCGATTCCACAAAAATGCTATGCGTTATGATAAAATATTTTAGTAAAAATCAAACTAAGATTGTTACGACTTTCTACAAACTTATCGAAATTGAAAAGGGAGATGCCATAACTATCTCGGCTGCGGTGACAAAACAACTGGAGCTAGACGGTTTAAAATTAGGGAATCTAATAGGAATCGGTGTTGATGGAGCCAATGTTATGGTTGGAGCGCATAATTCAGTAGCTTCTTTTTTGAAAGCAAAGAATAATGAACTTGTTATTATTAAGTGCGTCTGTCATTCTCTGCATTTGGCAGCAGAGTATGCATTTAAACTTCTACCTCGTCATTTGGACTTTATAATCAAGGAATGCCACAATTGGTTCTCTTGTAGTACAAAAAGGCAAATAGCATACAAACAAATATTTGAAACACTGACGGATCAAAAACCACTAAAAATTGACCAACTATCAGGAACCAGATGGCTAGCCAGATACAATGCGATAGTTAAAATTCTAGAACAATGGGATGCATTAAAAATACACTTTGGTATAGTAAAAGATAATGAAAGGTGTTATATGGCTGAACAGCTGTTTCAAATGTTATCGGACCAAACTAATGTATTATATTTCACCTTTTTGAGTTGGACATTGAAAGAAATAATTAGAGTTAATAAACTGTTTCAGTCAGAGTGTGCAGATCCACTGAAATTAATGGAAGATTTGAATTTATTACTTTTCAATAACCTAAGTATTTTAGTACCACCTATGAGACTTAAAAAAATTTCAAAAAATAACGTCGTTGATTTCAAATTTGAAGATTACATTATGGATATAGAATTGATAAATTTAGGATATTCGTTCAATTCAAAAGCGTCATCCTTAGCAATTAAACAAGATGAACTACTAATGGTGCGAACTAGATGTAAAGATTTTTTAGTGGAATTATGTCGACAAATTCAAATGAGAATCCCTGAAAGTATGAATATTTTGGAGAAAATAAATTCATTTAACCCCGAATTAGCTACATCCAAGATACGTCAACCTGAAATAACTAATATTGCTTTATCTTTCTCAACAATATGTCCTGACCTTGATAGTACAATTGCAGAATGGAAATCACTTCCTCGAATAAATTGGATAAACCTGCATGATACAGAAAAGTTTTGGGTTGAGGTGGCAAATAACGTCGATGCAGCAGGGGAACCTAGATATAAAAATATTTCATCATTAGCTCTTGCGTTACTTAGCCTTCCATTTTCTAATGCTTCAGTTGAGAGAGCTTTTTCCATTATAAATGTGGTAAAAAACAAACTTAGAAATCGCTTGGCGATTCATAGTACAGATGCTATCATGAGAGTTCGATGGTATCTGTGCAATTTAAAAAATGGTTGTACAGATTTTCAACCACCTGAAAATATGTTGCAATATTTCAATTCTGAAAGAATGTATGATTGCAAAAAGGAGGAGGAAGAAGTTTTAAATGCATTCTCGGAGCTGTAGCATACTACTCGTATATTATGATAGTAAAAAAATATATATTTATGTTACTTGTTATTAGTTATTAGTGTTATTACCATAAATACCATACTCATAAGACAATCTTAGCCAACCTGCAAAGTATAATAATAATAATAAATATCTTTGAAAGTTTTGGGAGATTTTTTTAAAGATGTGCTTTTTGGGGGAATTTGTTATTTAGGCTGGGGGACTTATAGAAATAGGTCTGGCAACCCTGCCACTATAGCCGTCATTTTCACCACACTCAAAACATGCACGCTTACCTGTGCTGGCGGTACGTTTGGGCGAGCCGCGTTGCGGGTTGAAAGGCAGTATAACCGGCGTACCGCCGACAGATGGGGTAGCGGTAGCCCCCTTGACGGTACCACCGGACACAGTTTTCAACTTACCGTCAGGCAACAGCAGCACATTGCCAATGTTGCCGGAGGCAGTACCGGTTTTTGCGGTCGATGTTGTTGACGTGTTTACCACAGACATCTTTGACATATCGAGCGTGCGGTTTTGCATCATCTTGGCGGCTGTGCTGCTGTTTAGCGAGACATTTTCGAGAACTGCAAGAGAAGAGAAAGTGTCACACATACGGGGTGGTCTCAAAGTTGGGAAATTCTTCTTCACGGCGTATAGTTCTTGTGGAAATAAGTAAATTTTCCCTATAAGCGCCACACGACACAATATGAAATACAGGGAGTAAACGTTATGGAAGTCATTATTGAAATGGGTAATAGGAGGGGTCAATTTTTGTCTAAATGGCTTTATAGTTTACAACTTTAAGTGCTTTATATCGACCACAATCATACTAATTTTTATAATCTAATCTGAAACGTTTTTAAACTGGGTAATTAACAAATAAATGGCATTAAGTTTTTCTAAGTTAAGCCAACATTTGTAGTTAGTAAGTTTCGTTAAATTAAATATTTAAAACACACATGGCAACAGCGCGTCGGCCTTTCATCACTCTTATCGAACCGGCAATCGATCGCAAACGGCAACAGTGGTCAGTTATCGGGCATCGGGCCTGTTGTTTTGTTTTTGTTCGCGTACGTCGTCGTCTTTATTGACAATGATCTCGAATCAAGAGTTCGCCGACATGTTTTTAGTTTAGTTTAGTTCGTCAGAATTCAAATCTTGCAGCTCAAATTTAACAGTACACCCAGACAGAAGGACATTTGTGCAAGTGTATCAAAGACTTCGAGATACAGGAAGTGTTCAGCCCACTAATATTCGCACTCGTGAAAGACAGGTTACTGTAGAGCAGGAGGAACAAGTTTTAAATATCGTGGAAATCAATGCACATATCAGCACTCGGGAATTAGGCCGCCGCGTAGGACTATCGCATACCATAGTCCACAGAATCCTACGGGAAAATTTGATTTATCCCTACCATGTACGAGTGCAGGCCTTGTTACCAGAAGACTATCCTCGCAGACTAAAAGTCTGTCAGTGGTTTTTGCCCAAAAACATTGAAAATCCGGTTTTTTCTAAAACATTCTAGCGAGGGACGTATGTACTTTTACGCGAGATGGGATATTAAATTTCCATAATACTCACACGTGGACCCAAGAAAATCCTCATATCATTCGTGAAGGTCATTTACAACAACGTTTTAAAATAAATATTTGGGCGGGTATTCTTAACGCTCACGTAATTGGCCCTTTCGAGTTTCCCCAAAAGTTGTCAGAAGAAGGATACCTTAGCTTTCTAGCCAATAACCTACCAGAACTTTTGGAACATGCCATTACAACGGAGGCAGAATTTGTGGTTTCTTCATGACGGGGCACCACCACACATTTTTAGAGGCGTCATTCAGTATTTGAATGAACATTATCCAAATCGCTGGATCGGTCGAAATGCTCCTGATCCTCGAAAATGGCCAGCAAGATCTCCTGACCTCAATCCAATGGATTTCTGGTATTGCGGAGAACTTAAAGGGATGGTTTATGGGGCTGGTCCAATAACAACTGAAGCACAACTTAGCGAAAAAAAAATGAATGCGGCTGAAATAATAAATGGACAACTTCGAGGACCTAGCGTAAGAAGAAACTGGGTTCGTCGTAATTAAGCTTGTGTGGAAAGTGGAGGACGACATTTTGAACACCTTCTTTAAACACAAAAAAAGTGCAGTGTAGGTTTTAAAAAGAAAAACAATGTATGTATCAAAATTGTGTTCCCTATTTATAAGTGGATTTTTTAATACGTTCAATAAACTTTCATACACCAGGTTAAGCGCTGAGACAGTTACTAGTAAGTCCGTTTTTTTAATTGTTTGCTTTTTACGAGTACATTATCAAATAATGAAATAATACCTAAGATCCAAAAATAACAAACTCCTTTATTTACACTGCGTTCCGTCGTAATTTGCGTCTGGCATTGCGGGGTTGTCAGACTTTATTTTACTTTAAAGTCGCTTTTCTCTAAAAAAATGTCGTTTTGACCCCCATGTTATATGAAACTTTTTGCTGCTTTTAACCCCCTCTATCACCCATTCAAATAATGAATATCATAACGTGTACACCCTGTATGATAATATACAAGGTATGTCGCAAAGTAAACAGGACAAACCGGAAAACCGAATTTATTTTATTCAAAATAGTCTCGTTCAGAGTTGATACAGCGATTTTCGTCATGTATAACTTCACTTCTGCTATCTTATTTTAATATCTAATTTATATACAACTAGAAACCTGGCAGAATTGACGCTACGTTTACGGTCACAACATGCGAATGTTCACATCTGACTAGTGTTGGCATGCTGGGTTGTCAAATGCTTAGCTAGTCATAATGAGGGAAGCAGTAGGGTAGATGTGACAACCTCTGTTGACATTCAACATAACCCCACTTACTTTTGTTAGATTGCCAGGCGTATACTTTGTTCACTGCAAACGAAACTGTATATTCAAAATTACAAGTATAACAAAATAAAGCTATGCGAATCATATTAAATAAAAATAAATATAGAACTACAATGGTTAGATATCAAAAATTCCATAACCTAATCGGTTTTCATTTACATCTTCAATTTAAAAAAAATCATCCACCAGATCATTTAGAAAATTTTATTGAATAGAACAATGAATACCGATGGCTTTCATTTACAAAATTGTAGTAGAAATATAACAAACACATCCGTATTTCAAAAAGGATTGTACGAATTTAATAAATTAAGTAAAAAAAAATATTCGCTGGAAAACGACAATTCATAGTAGTGAAATTTTGAATATGTAGACTTGAAGACATTAAATATTATGACTGTGTAACATTGATATTGTAGCATTGATGGCAAAAAAAATTGATACAAAATTGCATAACAAATTTCATATCGTGAAATGCAGCCCTAACATATACACCAGAAACTTCCAACCTCTGCCTCTAGCATTAGATGAAAAGACATGACGCACGTCATTATTTGACCCGTCGCACAATGTCTTTGTTTACAAATCGGATTTGAAAAAAACCCAAAATAAGGCTTTCCCATTGCAATAACAAGCATGTCGATACGATATAAATTTATGGTATTTTCATGATTTCGCGATTGCAATCAGATCGTTTTCCATCCAACACCGCGTTTGTTTATCACGATTAAAAAGGTACTTGGGCACACAGGGGGTTTGCAGTAATTTCGAAATGAAGTGGACAACCCCAATGTCGAACATAAAACAGTGTTTATGAACATTGCAGATAGAGATGTACCTGTGATTTCAAGTGTAGTTATTCCTGAAAAGGAAAGTCTCAACTTTCAGAACATACCCTCTACATTTGTTGGTTCCGTTCTATGGTTAGATTTAGCCTAAACCACAGTCAATCATAATAATTAACAGACAGATAAAGGAAATGACGCTGTACTTGGTAATCTAAAAGGAAGAGAACAGGAAAAAAGGCATTAGCCCTTAGAAGCACTCATGCTTCGAGATGAACATCTTGAACATGAATCAGTCAATCAGACAACTTCCTAAATCCGCAACTGTGACGAAGTTTTCAATAAATGTGAGGAGAGGGCGCATATTCCATCCTCTGGACACACAAAACTCTGAAGCTAGTCTTGTTTCCTTCCTTTGCGGCACCAGAGTGTAGTGACAGACTGAATAATTTGAATGGATAAAACGATATACAGGGTGACAGGTAAATAGATGTAAAACATTTTAGGAGGTGATAGTACAGCTCCTTTGCTATCAAAATTAGTTTATAATACCATACCCTATATTCAAAGGTTAAAAAGTTATGGAAGATTTAATTTTTTTTAAAAAACAACTCGGATTACAGAGTAAAATAGTTGAGATAAAAAAAAGTTGGTGATTAAACCTTCTTTTTTTGGTGGTTCCAGGTTATTATTTAAATAAATAATTCTCATAAATTAAAAAACATATGAAAACACTACTGAAAACGTATTTATTTTCATTTAAATGTTAAATGAAAATTTTTATTTTCAACTTTCACATTAAGAAGTCTTTTTTTCAAAAAAATCATAAAGAAAATGTACAAATAACTGCAAATACTTCCTCGTTTCATTAGGTTTCTAAAATGGTATAATAACATATCAGTAAGTAAACCATTTAACAAAACAATATTACTTTGCTAGAAAGGACCGCTAAGCGCATTTCATTGTACTGAGCAGGTAAACCGAGCCTTTCATGGTTCGACCCTTTTTGTAATTTTTTGTGCCCTATGCGGTTATTCGAGTTTAAGTATTCGGAATCTGTCGTCGCTCCTCGGAAGCAAGCTCTGCGTGTGTTATGAATTGACACAGCTGATGGATCAAGGAAAGGGAACGAATGCTTAGGTTAATTAGTAGACTATCAACCTTTAACGCGGTAGGACGTACTTTTACTTTTTTGATCAGTTTTAATAATGGCGAGTTACCGTAACGAAGAATACGCTGATATTCTGTTTTGTTATGGTTTAAGTGATGGAAATTCCGTTGAAGCCAGGCGAGAATACGAAAACCGTTTTCCGATTCGGCGAATACCGAGTCATCGAGTATTTGCTTCTGTGTACCAACGCGTCAAGGAAAGTGGACAGGTTCATTAGAGACGTCATGATGCTGGTAGACCTCGGTTGTTTGACGACGAAGATCGAGAGGCAATACTGGAATGTTACGGCAGAGACCCGACGATGTCTACACGAGTTATAGCAAAGCAGCTTTGTTTAACTCAGTGGTAAGTTTGGTTCATTTTGCATTCGGCGAGACTTTACCCTTTCCATTACACACCGGTTCAAGTATTAGAAGAAGGAGATCCCGCAAGAAGAATTGATTTTTGTCGAAACATGCTTCATCGGGATCAAGAAGAAAACGACTATTTAACTAAAATATTGTGGACCGACGAGTCTAAGTTTGACAGAGAGGGGACAACAAATAATCGCAACTTACATTATTGGGCCTCACGAGAGGCAAATCCCCACATGGCAAAGCCAAGAGCCCATCAAAGAAGATTTTCGGCAAACGTGTGGATGGGCATCATTCATACGTATCTAATTGGACCAGTTTTTTTGCCTGACAACCTGAATGGCGAATGCTATGAGAACTTTTTGAGATCCGAACTCTGGGACTATCTCGAAGACCTGCCTCTGAATATCAGGATGCAGATGATCTACCAACACGATGGCTGTCCCGCGCATTTCCGTCTGGGTGTTAGACAGTGGCTGGACGAGAAATATCCTTGTCGCTGGATTGGCCGAGGTGAACCGACACCGTGGCCAGCGAGGAGCCCAGATTTAACACCGTGTGACTATTATTTATGGGGGCACATGAAGTCACTGGTGTACGCTGAGCCCATAGACACTCTTGCACAGTTGAAAGAAAGAATTATTGCTGCTGTTGACACTATCAGAGGACAACTAACTGGCATCAGGCGTACCAACATGAGAAAAAGACTACGGGCTTGCATAAGAAACGGCGGGCGTCAGTTCGAACAACAATTGCTCCCTATTGTTGTATTACAATACATTATGTTTAGTTTCACACAGTTTTTGTGCACTTATCATACCAATTTAGATTCCTTATGAAACAAGGATATTATTTAAATTGTTTGTTCGTTTTTTTGTATACTCATTTTTTTGTAAAACACCTTACTTACTGTAAAACGTTATTTGTTTTTCTTAGTTAAACATTTTTGAATGAAAATAAATACGTTGTTTGGTATTGTTTTCGAATCTTTTTTAATTTATAATAGTTAATTATTGAAATAATAACCCAAAACCACAAAAAACAAATGTTTAATCGCCAACTTTTTTCTCTCTCGACTTTTTTAGTCTGAAATATGGATTGTTTTTAAAAAAATCTTAAACCTTCAATAACTTTTCAACCTTTGAATATAGGGTATGGTATTATATACTAATTTCGATAGCAAAGGGGCTGTACTATCACCTACTAAAATGTTTTACACCTATTTACCTGTCACCCTGTATAACAATCTTGTTGTTATTAGATGAGAAATGCAGTGTTTCCAGATATATGATAGATGTTGGATGAATTTAAAAATAAACGATTTTTTATCAAAATATACTTTTATCTGACCACATAAATTGTTGGGAAATTTACCTTTGATTCCAGAAGGTTGTTTTGGTGGCAATGTTTTAATGCCTCCCTGCAATAAGTTCGACAACCTACTCCCTCCTTGAGATGCTGTCCTGTTGAGAGTGTATGCTTGTAAACGAGCTGCAGAAAATAAAGATATGAAAAATGATAAAATACCAATAGTCAATAGAGTATTTGCAAAATTTTTATTTCGAGGGAATATCAATATATTGCTGCCGAAAATTATGTATGTTACCATCAGGTATGAGAAAATAACTCGGATGATGACATATTTGCATGAAACACGTTCTATGGTATCTCGAATAAAAATCAAATCCTGATTCCTTCATCTAGAAATGCAGTGGATTAAAAGCTATCCCATGTATCCACAACAGCGAAGAAAAAATGATAGAATGGATCATTCTTGAGAATCAGACGTAAACGGTGTATTTCAGCTTAAAAAAATCAATTTCTAAAAAGAGAATATCACCCCCATTGAATATAAAATGAAGAAGCACCCTTTTCGAAGTGCCAAAAAACATTGCTTAACCACGGTTTCAATTCACACTTCTAAGCCCCTCCACTCTACCTTCCACCAATCCTCCTCTACGTTGTCGCTACCGCACTAACCTTGCTTCTCAGGCGTAATAGCCCCTCTCTGCACGACCATGGGCCCCAATTTCCTTACGGGCGTCCTTTTCACCGGACTAGGACTGCCGTCACCATCTCTGACCTTGGGTGGCCGGCCGATACGCACAGCACGTCGTTCAGGGGTTGCTTGTTGGGGCGGGGGGCTGGGACTAGGGGAAGAGGGTTGGCGGGAGGGAGGACGGGGGTGTGTAGGAGGGGTGGGCGTGGAAGAGGGGGTGTTACCTGCAATGTCAGCAAACTGAAGTGTTAGGAATACATTTAGATGAATTTCTGACTTGGACTCGACACATGAATAAAACTGCTTTGAAATGTGCAGCATCAGCCATGGAATAAGAGCGTTCTCTAGGTATATAAATTCAAATAAAACTATGAGAATCATTTTAAATAAAAACAAATATGTTAGGATTAAGTCTATATTAGAAAAAAATGCAATGGTTGGATGTGAAAAATTTCATATATTATACTAAGTGACATATAAATCCGAACACCTAATTTAAATGGTTTTATTTTAATAAAAGTTGGTGAATGTATTTATCTTACTGTAAATAACAAGTGAAAATTTTTTTATCAGTTGGACATTCCGGTTTTTATACTGCTTTTTTTTAATTCACTAACGCTCTAAAAATGAATATTTCAGCCGCAGTAAAGAATCAACGTTGGCGGATTTTGGTTCTTGACATCCTTTACGATCGGTTACGATGCCTAGAGTACGGAGACCTGTACGATTTCGTCAACTTAGTGAGTTTGATAGGGGCCGTATAGTGGGACTTCGGGAAGCTGGACTGTCTTTTCGGGCAATTGCAGTTAGAGTGCAAAGAAGTGTAGACACTGTGGTTAGGTGTTGTCAGGCTTGGCTTCGAGAAGGCCGTACGCAAAGAGCAAGGGGCACTGGACGCCGCCGTAGAACAACAGACCGTGAAGATCGCCGCCTAAGATTATTGGCCTTAAGGGACCGTTTCTCCACTACCAGGTCCATTGCAAATCAATGGTTTGCAGAACACGGAAGACCTATTGGCATGCGAAGTGTTTACCGACGAATGAGAAGTTTTGGCTTGTTTTCATACCGGCCACACTGGGTCCTCCCTTTAAATCGAGAACACCGACGTAATCGCCTTGAGTGGTGCAGACAACGGTCACTCTGGGATCAGGAATGGAACAGTATTGTCTTTAGTGACGAGTCTCGATTTTGTTTAGGCATGCACGATGGTCGTGCCAGGGTTAGAAGGCGACGTGGTGAAAGGAGGAATCCACAGTTTTTTATTGAAAGACATGTTCATCACACTGTTGGAGTTATGGTTTGGGGTGCTATAGCTTATGGTTCCAGGTCACCTTTAATCTTCATCAGAGGTAACATGAACGCGCAGCGTTATATCCACGAAGTTCTAGAACCCCATCTTTTACCCTATCTTGACACCCTGGCAGATCCAACTTTCCAACAAGATAATGCCCGACCACATGTTGCAAGAGTCACAATAGACATTTTTCAACATAATGATGTCACATTGTTACCATGGCCACCAAGATCTCCTGACTTATCCCCAATTGAGCACGTGTGGGATATGATGGGTAGGAGATTGCTCAATTTGCAACGTCCTCCTCAGACTCTAGAAGCACTTCGAGAGGAGTTGGTGGTTGCCTGGAATGAGATACCACAGGAGGAGATTGACCACCTGATCAGAAGCATGCCTAGGCGCGTTGGAGAATGCGTAGCACTTCAGGGTGCATCCACACATTATTAAAGGTCAAAAGGCTTTAAAGCATTGCAATTCATTTTGAAATTTTTATCATTTACTTATTATGCTTCATTAAGTACTTATACAAAGTTTTATTAAAATAAAACCATTTAAACTGGGTGTTCGGATTTATATGTCACTTAGTATATTTAGTTTTCGTTTTCATATTCAAATTAAAAAATCATTTATTACCACCACATTTAGAGAACTTCACAAAATTAAATAGTCATTATCATAACTACGAAACTAGAGGCAGTATAGATTTTCATCTGCAAAATTGTAATAGTAGCATAACTAGTAAATCTATATTTCAAAAGGAAGTATTTGAATTTAATGACATTAAACAGAGTTCGAATTTAAAAATATTTAAGGTGAAATTAATAAATCACTTTATGAATAATCAAAATACATAGTGACGTAATTTTAATTTTAATAGACAAGAATGTAAAATTACAGAAAATTGATTGAAGAAAAATATGTAACCGAATCATACAAAATTGACATTGTAGCATTAATGCTAAATAAATCTTCAACAAAAAAAAGGTGTTACCTTGGGCAAGTTGTTGTTGGTGTTGGGCCCATTTGGCTTCCAGACTACCTGGTGGTGGGACGCGGGGTTTCATGGTGCGAGCTCCGGGTGGACGGCCAACTGTAGAAAGTTATGATCAACTAGATTATACAGTGTGTTCCAGAATGTTGTCAGCATAATTTAGGGGCATTCAGTATGGAAAAAGTATGGTCCGGATATTCGCACGTTTCCATGATACAAAGTTTTTAAAATAGCCCGTGTTTAAAAAGTGCACGAGACTGGTTTGCAAATAATCCACTAACATCAAGCAGAAATACAATAAAGAAAAGAGACTGCATAATAGCTTTTTTGAAGAAACTGCTTGATACTGCCCTTGAAAAAGTATCAAATATCATGTTTGCTCGTACAGTGGCTGGTGACTTGACTGTGTCTGGGATACGGCCGTGTGAATTCCGTCTAAATAGCGTAGCAGAGTGAGCGGAATTTTGGAGTGAAATGAATTCTTTTTGTTACAAAAATACATCAGTAGAAAAGCTAGAAGAATCACAGAAATAAGCACCAAAATCACACTCAACTCAATCTATACATAGATACAAGATAGTTGAAACTCACTAAGAACTGTTCGCAGATTTTATACACGTATGAATACGAATCCAACAATGATATTACATGGTTGCAATGATCTTTGAAATTCAAGTGCTCGCCTAAATATACACATAAAAAAATTAGTACCATACTACAGCTTTAGTGGTTTGTCATTTAGTTTTAGATTTAGGCCCGTATCGTCAGTCGTCCCTACAATTATAGGGCACGTTTATGGCCTCCTTGATTGTCATACTCCTTTCTCACCTTCAAAAATTGCTAGATTACACTTGTCCCGTGTCCGCGTCAGCGCTCTCCTATTGTGAAGATATGTTTTCTTTTTAAATTGTAGGAAATTTCAGGCTGATAAAACATGATATAACTCAAAGGCAAGCACAATTTGATGAGAATAGATGTTTGTGACATAACCTCAAAATAGAATTCTGACACGGAGAAGTAGAAAACTATGACAATCAAGGAGGCCATAAAGGCGTCCTACAATTGTAGGGACGACTGACGATACGGGCCTAAGATCGCCCAACCGCTGTACATCGTGAAACCATACCAAAGCAGTTTTTTCGGAATTTAGGAATAGATAACTCTGTGCAAAGCGTTCATTTAGTTGTTAAAATATCATTGAATTTTGTTATCAGTCATTATATGCATGTGATAAAGAGACAGATCGCGATCTGTTCTGTAAAAATGATTTGTACGGCTAACTTACGCATCGTGCTCGGCGATTTTTTGTTCGTCGGCGACCGTCCTACCGCCTGTCCTGCCGAAGGGGGCGGAGTCGCCCGATCTCCGCCCCCCGAGCTGTCGTCCAATGGCGAGCCCGGTGGTAGACCGCCCGTTGGCGACGACGACGTGGACGTCGAAGACGAAGAGGCGGGCGCTTGCGAACTAGTGGGGGTAGAATGGGATATGATGGGGGGTTTACCTTTGCGCATGGGAATATTGGCGTCGGCAGGGTGGTGGACAACGGAAGCTGTGGGAGGGGATTGTCGCAGGGTGGGTGGGAACGGGGACATGATCAGGCCGCTGCAGAATTCGCCGATCTCCTCCTAAAAAGCAAAAAAGACAGTTACGGTTCATAGACACAGACATACCGTATTCCTTAACCCATCAAATAGCTGTAATATTTCTTTTTTCAACGAATCTTCAAGCGATGGAAAAAGAACAAACTGGTATAATGCACAAACTTAAAAAAACACTTAGAAGGCGACACTAGGTTAAAAAGATACAAGTGTATATTAGTTTTTAAAATAAACATTTAACTCATCAATGTCGGCTGGAAACAGGGTGAAAAGCATAATCCGGCATAAACTGGAGACTTTTTTATAGCACATGTGATGAAATTTATTGTTAATGAGTTAATGAGTATTGTAACACAGTAAGAAGACGATATCGTTTGAATATTTTTCTGTAAGATGACCGATAGTGAATGTTGAAAATTAAACGGATGATCTTTTTTTTGGAGGATAAAAACACGATAGACGTCTTTAACCTGCCCCCACAAGACAATACAATATGGGGTATTGAACCGTATAATAAATATTCATCAAGGTTTCTATATAATATAAATAACAGTTATCAAGCTTTGCGCATACTGAATTACCATTTTTTTCTCATGACAGTCTTATACAGTTGACGATCAGGCAGTTTTTATCGCTCTATTCATTAAATTCCTTCATTTTTTTCTCAAGGCTTTCCGCTGAGCCAGCGGGTGTCATCAGCGTAATAGAATGGTGTACGGATATACAAAGGAAGGAATAAAAAGATCAAAGGTCCTTCCTCAATTATTACCATTTAAATAAAAGATATATTTACTTCTGCCTCCAAGTTTCGCGCCTCTTCTTATTTTTCGGTGGTGCGTTGGCGTCGAAACTTTAAAGCTATCCTATTAACAGCAAATATCAAAAAGGGAAAAACTGACCCATTTGTTCGCTCTGGTGTAACGACGCATCACCTGTGACCAATGCTACGGTTTGCGTTAGATGCTTAAATATCGAATCGACCATAGAGAAAAATAAAAGTATATGAAGACCGGTTTGAAAACATAGAAACTACAATAATAATGATGAGATCAGTAAATTTAGTTATTGTAACACCTTAACGTGGTTTTGATGCTGACAAACATCCACGTTTGTCTAGGCGCTAAATAAAACTACATACTACTGCTGACGACGTTTTGGCCACCAAGGTGACTTTTTTGGAGAACAAATATAAATTCAGTTTGCCAAAACGTTTCTCTTAAATAATTTAAGAAGCACTTAAACACGTAAATGTGTATCCTACCATTCACAAAACATAAATTTCCGTATCGTACTGACTGCCATTAAATTAAATATACTTACAACAATACATTTGTCAACAATGCTTTGTGTGACACCTTCTGCTTTCTTCTTTTTCTTACTAATTCTCAAATAATCATCTGCAGATCCAACAACTATAAGGCCTGTCTCCACCCTCATTCTTTCTCTTAGGTCCTCTAGGTCTTCTTGCCTATAGAAATGAAAAATTAATTGTTAACTTGCTCTGACAATAGAGAATATGCATGACTTTTTGGTATCTTCTGTCGATTATTTACGTTAGTATAATAAAGTTAACACGTATTTTTTTCATGGAAATGTGTGTAATAATTTTTAATTGAATATTTAAAAACGCGATGCCAATGACGTTGATCTAAATGCCGCCTTTTTGCCGCGCTTCACAGCCGAAACAGCCGCACAGGTAGAAGCCTAAATGCCGGAACACCGCGGCTGCTATGATGACCCCAAGGAAATTTTGTTAATACGATTTTTGAACTGCCTAAGGTTAGTAGAACTGGGAAAAGCTTCCTCTTGTAGATTGTTCCACAATCTCGACACCCTCGGAACAAAGGAGCGGTCGTATCGGCCAGTTCTGGATGTACGAAGTTCGACACGGTTAGGATGGGACGCCAAAGTCAGACGCGTCTGCCTGGCAGGCACATCGCGTGGCGGCATCATGGAAGAGAGCTCTGAGTCTGTTAGAGAAGAGTCATCGATCAGTCGGGCCGCCCTCCTCTGGACAGATGCGTCAGCCCTTGAGTAAGAACGAACGCTTCGACTGCACGACCTGCTGCATCGGACTTGTTTGAGCCCAACCAAAGCTCATTATGGGCATTGAAATCACCGAGAACTACCTCTGAAGCGGGGTGATTGATGTTCAGGAAGTCGATCTGGACGGCGAGGTATTCGAGTAGGTCATCCCAGTTATGGTCCGAGGGATAGCGATAAAGGCAGCAGATAAATTTTGGTGTTGAGGCGAAGCCACAGAATGTCCTTCCGGCCTGATTCCAAAGAAACATCTCTGGAGCAGGAAAGACTGCTGCGGACAAAAGCCTCAACTCCCCCGTTCTTTCTCAAATTCGAGTGCACCTCGTAGTATGGGAAGTTAAGATGGTTAATCAGTGCTGACTCTGAGATTTTTGTCTCCGCCAAGAAAAGCACGGCGGGGCGATTGGATTGCAGGTAGTGATGAACAGCAATAATGTTGCTGTTAATCCCGCAGATTCGATTGTCTTTTTGGTTAATTTCTATCGAGCTGCCAAAAGTTCAATTCTATATCATGTAGCTTTAATTAAAACAAAAAACAGATTCATGGATCCAGAACAGAAACCTTATTATATAGTAAGCATACGGAAAGCACCTAAAGCGTCTATTTTCGGAAGATTATCCGACTGTGCCTTTTTAACACCGCTTCAAGTTGATTGCACTCAGGAAGGCTTATATCCTCAAACTAATATGTGGTCCAAAGTATACAAGCAAATGGTAAAAACAACCCGATGAATAACTTTATCCTTCGGAAGTTATCAATCATCAAACTGAGAAGCAATGACTGAGATAACAAAGGACTGGCCTTTTAAATAGGATTGACCCATCAACAAAGGGTGACATCATGAGAAAATCGTTGCGTTTTGATATTTTAAATTTACTCGCGTTTTTTATTAATACTCGTAATTTTATAGCGGTTGAACGTGTTATTGGTAGCATTATAGATTGTAAGTAAAAAAACTAACTGATATTTGAATCACATGCATATTCCCTATTGTTTTCTAAATCGTCTTTATTTGCTTATAGTTGTATGCTGTCCTAGAATACATCAGGTATCAAGTATTGCGACCCTACAAAGTGGCCATTGTCCTTTACCTTGGAATTAAAAACATCCTACAAACTCTCACTTACGTGGATGTATCCGACTTCTCCCCCACGACGAACAAAACGGGCGAATGCAACTCGAGCATCTCATCCTCCGGCTCGCCCCGCCTTCCTTCGGCCGTGAGCAGCGAGAAGCCAATTGCGACGACGCACGTGGCCACGCCCGGTTCCGCTTTGGCCAATCGCAGCGCTAGAGATGCGCCGGCACGCACGCCTACCAGCACGACGGGGCGACCCGGGAAGGTGGTGCGCGCTTCGTCGAGTTTCGCGCGTACCGCTGCGTACATGTGATCCAGGCAGGCTGCTGTGGTGGTTGAGGAGGCTCGCTGACCCAGGATCGATGCTGGAATGGGATTTGTTCCAATTCATCCGCTATTACGAGTTCTGCAATTTAAGTGATGAGACTGGAAGCGCCGGGCTTGGACGGCAGACAGAGGAACATGTGATCCGCCTACAGTACAAGTTTGAACTCGATCGAGTCATTTGTGAAACAATTTTTCCTATTGTGTTCTTGTGCGTTTAGATCGTCGGTTGACAGTCAGAATGATCGGGGGAGAGTTAAATTTGATTCACACCACCGTTCATCATTATCAAGAGCTGGGTGTTACATCACGATAATGCTCCTTGTCACATAGCAATGTCGATAAACGAGTTTTAGACCAGTAAAAATATTCCTGTCTCCTCACGCTCCTTATTCGAATGACTTGAGTCCTTCTCTTCCCGAAGCTGAAAAATCACCTCAAAGGTACTCATTTTGGGACAGTTGAAATCATTCCAGAGGCTGTAACCAACCAACTGAAATCTATTCCAGTAACCGAGTTCCAGCACTGCTATGAGCATGAGTGGAAGTTATCGTCTCCAGCGCTGTGTGGCTTTAGAAGGAAGTCATTTTGAGGGTGGCAATATAAAATTGTGATTATATTTGAATAAAAAAAAAATCAGTCTCATCACGTAATTTACAGACCTTGTATATCATGATTCTTCAACACATTGCTCCATTGATTTTACTGTATACTGTCATGATCGTTAGCATCTATATCAATAGGCTACTTGACTCATGTGTAATTTCATACAAAAATCTTACAGTATTTGGCTTAGGAAACCGAAATATATCCATTTCAATATTCAAAAGAGCAAGATGGATATACAAGGTGTGTCCCAAAATAAACAGGACTTTTGAAAGATATCCTATACAAGCAGCGCCATCTATTATTGGAGCTAGCGTTGGATAGGTACATCTTTCATTGATGTCCTGGCAAAATCCGAAAAAAAGGCCGTTTGGAAAAGTCCAAAGTGAAGACAATGTTGATTTGCTTCTAGGGTTCAAAGGGGATTATTCACAAAGAATTCTTTCCACTGGGCCAAACGGGTAATGCTGTATTTTATCTTGGTGCTATGTTTTATCTGTCCGTATTCGTCATGTTCGGCCAGAATATCGCGAAGAAGGAAGTTAGCGCTTGTTGCACGATAATGCACAATCTCATTGGTCGACGCATGTGTCCGATTTGTTGACAAAAAATTGCATTTTAACCATGAACCACTCCCAATATTATCCTGATATGGCACCGTGTGACTAGTTTCTGTTCGGTAAACTTTTGGCCATGAAGGGGCAGCGGTATGCCGACGTAGAGGCCATCCAAAAGGCGTCGACGACCATTTTGAAGGACATCCCGGTCAATGAGCTGAAAAAATCATTCGAAAATCTCTTGGTCCATGCAAATTGCTGTATTAACTATTAATGAAACTAGTTTTGATGAAATAAATTCGATTTTCCGAAACAAAACATGTTTGTTAATTTTTTTCTTTGCCCTGTTTACTTTGCGATAGACCTTGCATAGTCCAATTTAAAAAAATATAACTTTTATTTTTAACATGAAACGGTAAAAACGCTATCGGCCATGATGTGACGTCATGCAAATTGTAAATAAAGAAACGTCACACATTGTCTTCTTTGAATATTTCTGAAAAAACTACTAATCAACGCTAAAATGTATCGTTTTATAAAAAAAACAATAATGGACGTTGGATTCGTAAAAGCACAAATTTACCGAAAATGCTTGGCAATTTTTTGCCTCCAACCCAAATTTCTGCTCTGATGAGCTGAGGAATATCATAACTTCAAAATCCTGTTTCACATCATGTTTTGACGTCTACTGATGTGAACAGCTGATCAGCAAGCAACATATTTGTATTAAGACTGTAACATTGGCAATAATGAATGTAAATCTTGTAAAAGTCACTTGTACTGTTGTCTTTTTTTGTATGCATATGCACTTTTCTAAACAAAATAGTTGTTAGCAAATACAAAATGAATCTATAGCATACAGAAAACCAAAACAAAATACGGCTGGGTACACCTGGCGTTGACGGATCCGTCGGAGTTATACTAAGTGACATATAAATCCGAACACCCAGTTTAAATGGTTTTATTTTAATAAAAGTTGGTGAATGTATTTATCTTACTGTAAATAACAAGTGAAAAAATTTTCAGCCTTATCAGTTGGACATTCCGGTTTTTATACTGCTTTTTTTTAATTTACTAACGCTCTAAAAATGAATATTTCAGCCGCAGTAAAGAATCAACGTTGGCGGATTTTGGTTCTTGACATCCTTTACGATGGGTTACGATGCCTAGAGTACGGAGACCTGTACGATTTCGTCAACTTAGTGAGTTTGATAGGGGCCGTATAGTGGGACTTCGGAAAGCTGGACTTTCTTTTCGGGCAATTGCAGTTAGAGTGCAAAGAAGTGTAGACACTGTGGTTAGGTGTTGTCAGGCATGGTTTCGAGAAGGCCGTACGCAAAGAGCAAGGGGCACTGGGCGCCGCCGTAGAACAACAGACCGTGAAGATCGCCGCCTAAGATTATTGGCCTTAAGGGACCGTTTCTCCACTACCAGGTCCATTGCAAATGAATGGTTTGCAGAACACGGAAGACCAATTGGCATGCGAAGTGTTTACCGACGAATGAGAAGTTTTGGCTTGTTTTCATACCGGCCACACTGGGTCCTCCCTTTAACTCGAGAACACCGACGTAATCGCCTTGAGTGGTGCAGACAACGGTCACTCTGGGATCAGGAATGGAACAGTATTGTCTTTAGTGACGAGTCTCGATTTTGTTTAGGGATGCACGATGGTCGTGCCAGGGTTAGAAGGCGACGTGGTGAAAGGAGGAATCCACAGTTTTTTGTTGAAAGACATGTTCATCACACTGTTGGAGTTATGGTTTGGGGTGCTATAGCTTATGGTTCCAGGTCACCTTTAATCTTCATCAGAGGTAACATGAACGCGCAGCGTTATATCCACGAAGTTCTAGAACCCCATCTTTTACCCTATCTTGACACCCTGGCAGATCCAACTTTCCAACAAGATAATGCCCGACCACATGTTGCAAGAGTCACAATAGACTTCTTTCAACATAATGATGTCACATTGTTACCATGGCCACCAAGATCTCCCGACATATCCCCAATTGAGCACGTGTGGGATATGATGGGTAGGAGATTGCTCAATTTGCAACGTCCTCCTCAGACTCTAGAAGCACTTCGAGAGGAGTTGGTGGTTGCCTGGAATGAGATACCAGAGGAGGACATTGACCACCTGATCAGAAGCATGCCTAGGCGCGTTGGAGAATTCGTAGCACAGCAGGGTGCATCCACACATTATTAAAGGTCAAAGGGCATTAAAGCAGTGCAATCATTTTGAAATTTTTATCATTTACTTATTATGCTTCATTAAGTACTTATACAAAATTTTATTAAGATAAAACCATTTAAACTGGGTGTCCGGATTTATATGTCACTTAGTATATGTGTCATTTGTCGATATGGGGTATTTTGAAATACTACTAGGTAATCAGCTGTTATTCTACGATAATGTGGAAAAGACTCACTTTTGTCAGCATGTATAATCTGAGATTCCATGTGAGATACCTAGCCTAGCTTACCATAATTGGTGGGTACAGCCACAACAGTGCCCAGGTACCCCATTAATTTGATCCATTTGTGGCTCATCTTAGTGAGCACTGGAGCTGAAGGAATTACAATAAGTACCGGACTGCCAGGTAGTTTCTTGGGTCTATCTGATATATGAGACACTGCAGAGGAGATTGCTTGGGCTGGGTCCCAACTGCGTTCCAGCAATGGTTGAAGGTTGACATTGTTAAGGGCTCCCATTCTAAGGGAGCTATTGGGACCATACATCATCTTGTCTACAAAGTTGGGTAGTTTACTTTTGAGAGTCTGGAATTAAAAATATTTGTAATCATCAGATATTTTCCTCCAAAATCTGAAGGGACTTCAAACATAAATTTGTATGTTTTCAGCAACAAATTAACGTTGTATTAAATCCTATTACCCTAAAGCTTAGCACATACCTGTAAAATATCAAGGTAACATGTCAGATAATGGGGTCCCAAGTTATCAATCAACATCTGATGAAGCCATTGGGTAATCTTAGGATCCCATGACACTGTTGCCAAGAGCCTTCTAACTCTTTGTACAGCTTTGTCCACAGCTGTGCGTCTCAATACTGGTTCATTTGAAACTTTTTTATTCGCTAATCTTGCAAGGTTTAGGTTATTAAGAATAGATGCCATACCACTGAATATTCTGTATTGTGCTGGACTCCAACTACCCCTATAAAAAAATCAGTTTTTGAGGTAGGTCTATAAGATTGTTTCAAGTACACATCTTGCAGTTTTTGATTGCTGTATCATTATGAGCACTCAAAGGAACAAAAATAAAATGTTCAAACAACATTCTGATTTCTCACTATATTTGAGTGTATGGTAGTTTTTTCATAAAATAAAAGATTTTTGTGTTACTGAGATATAGTTCACTTCACAGTTTTTGGCAGGTCACACACTAAAACTACCACCATCACTTTTATACCTACATATGCAATCTGCATCTCCTTTCTCTTTAATTTTTAACTTCAACTCAACATCTCACAAATTTTCTTGCTAACATATAATTGTTAATAATATATGCTTGTTACTGCCAGTAGCACAACCCACTTGGCATGGGCGGTATACCCAATTTGAATTTATCTTTTATCGATCTTCATAATATAAAACATATTAGTAGAAAACTATTTAATTGACAGAAGTCAAAAAACCAAAATTGGATCTACATTATCAAGCTCAAAAAATATTTCTGTTGGTATACCACAAGATAGTAAACTAGGTCACTACTATTTATTTTATACATTAATGACATTTGTAATATTTTAGATTAATGTAAAACTCAGGTATTTGCAGATGATACATTAATATACATATCAGATGAAATATAGACACTGCTTTAAAAATACTAAATTCTGACTTGGCAAAAGTTCATTGAGTTATAGAAAACCAACCATGTTTGTGTTAATATTTTGTAGCATAACCATTATTATCAATCACCGCCTGGCATCGTCTCGGCATAGATTGTAGAAGTTTCTTGATATAAGATTCATCAATCTGTCTACACTTTTGCTGGAACAGTTCATCGTTGATTGAATAATTTTTATCTCGTATTTGCTTATCTAAGTATTCACATAGACTTTCAATGGGGTTTATACAGGGAGACTGTGAAGGCCATTTGAGAACTGGTATTTTTTCATCCACAAAAAAATTCTTTGCGAGATTTGAAGTGTGCTTCGGGTCATTATCTTGCTGGAAGATTGATCTTAAGGGCATATTGTCTTCCACATAGGGTAACATGACATGCTTTAGTATGTCTGTGTATACAAACTTGTCCATAATGCCGTCTATTCTATGTAAAGATGCCATCCCAAACCCTGAAAAGCACCCCCAAACCATGACAGACCTGCCTCCATGTTTGACAGTGGGCAAAGTGTACTTGGGATTCAATCTTTGTCCACTAGGACGTCTAACGTAATGAACACCATCTGATCCAAACATATTGAACTTGGATTCGTCCCTGAAACATACCATCTTCCCGTCACAGATGCTCCAATCAAGATGCAACCATGCAAATGGTAATTGGTCCTTACGGTTTTTCCTCGAGATTAGCGGCTTCGTACTCGGGCGACGTGCAAATAACTTCAAATCATTTAATCTTCTACTTATAGTTTTCAGAGAAACACAGACAATTCATTTTGTCTCGATTTCGGCTTTTATTTGTCTTGAGTTTTAAACGGATCTTTGGACGAAATTACTTTTATTAATCTAACTGATCTAGCATTTAGTTTTCTAGGCCGACCACTTCTCTTAGAGGCTTCCAAGATTCCTTTTTGTTTATATTTGTTCAATATTGCCCAAACTGCTTTACGCTTCAGCTTCAAATTTGTGGCAATGTTGTTGACCATCTTTGTATAACTCAATGATCTTAGTTCTCACATCGATAGAAATTTCTGGACCACGCGGCATGGTCTTAAAATCACTCAATTTATTCCACAATACTTGATGAACACAAACTAATCCTCTTCTGACACGAATCTGTACTAAACTAATGTTGAAAAGAATTTGTCTACATATTTTTGTCCCTCATAAAAAAGTGCTTATATTCAGACTTGTATTGTTCAAGTCAATTCAATTCTTTATTTGTGTTAAGTACACCAGCGTGTTTACACAAGTCAAAAGAAAAAAAGAATTAATACAAAAAGCAGTCTGACAAAAGACTGATGTTCATTGCAGATAATGTAAAAACAAGGAATTTAGTTTTTCTACTAATAACGCATTTGTTTATGGAGCAATGAAGTATGAATTCATTTTCTAAAAGTATTAAGGTAAATATTCATATTTGTTTATATACTTTTGTCCATTACTGTATATTGATAGTTAACTTAAGTTTGAGGATCACTATGAATACATTATTTCAAAAATTGCCAATTACTTTTATAGGGTTTGTCATAGTCTTTGTACATATTCCAAGAAAATAGTTTATAATACAATTATTCTACCACATTTACTATATTGTTTAACTATCTTGTTCATTGCTAATGCCAAATTAAAATCTATGTTACAAGAATTTCAGTGGTTGAATATAAAATATTCCATATATTTGGTTCTTATTTTTATATTTAAAATAAAAAATCATCTTTTGCCACAACATTTAGAGCACTCCATAGAATTGAATAATCATTACCACAATTATTATAGAATAGGAAATATATATTTTCATTTCCAAAATTGCAATAGTAATATAACTAGTAAATCAATATTTCAGAAAGTATTACTTGAATTTAATAAACTAACTAATGATATAAAGTCTACTTGTAATTTAAAGATGTTTAAAAGAAAATTGAAAGAATATTTCATGGACAGTGAAAATTCTTAGATGCAAATTTTGTTTTTCTTTTTCTAAATATCTGTATGATATGTTACTGTTCCGTTTTTTAGAAGAATGTAATTGCAGCAATCACACTAAATAAATCTTAACCAAACATACAAATACAAATGCTGCTAATGGAGAATATTGATAGTTTTGTAAAAATTATTGGCATTATATGTTTTTAGAAGGTGAATAAAGCAATGGTTTATAGGATATTTTCCTTTTGTGGCATATGCATTTGTTCACAATGTGTAATTGATGTAAATAAATTATTATTAACCAACTCATGTAAGCGAGTGCAATTTTCCTATGAAGCTTCAGCCCCACACATGGTTCAGTAAGTCTATTTGCTTATTTTATATGGCGTTGGTGAGATAACCAGTACTTTTTATAAAAACATACTTTGAAATTTTGTCTTCCCAATCATCTTCATCCTGATCAACCCTAGCATTAAATGCATACTTTTCACATTCATCCATCAAACTCTTGGCTTTATTCAGATCATAGATGGTACCAGCCTTTCCCTCCGATTCTACATCAACAATATCCTCAACATCCTGTACTGGAGCCAATGGATTAACTGATCGTTTTCCAATAGCTTTATGTATAAACAAGGTCTTGGTGGGCCTTAAAAAGTTTTCTTCTGGTCTCCAGTTCCATGGTCTAGCATAGCAGTGGTCTGATGATATCGCCCATTGGCCACTGTCATACTGATTGGACATTCCCATCATGCGTGGGTATTTGATATCGTCCGAAATCATAGCTCTGGTTACTTCTTCCTCCAAGCTAAAGGTGTGTTGGGACGCAGGATTCGACAGAGGCTTCCTAGTTAACTGAAAGGCATCAATATTGCATCATTCAAGAAAGTATAACCTAGCTTGTATGTTTACCTCTAACGGCATATTGTAATCGAAACGAGGTTTTATACCACCATCCACATCAATTTCTTGAGACATGCTATTTTTCAGAAATAGCGCTGCATTTCGCCAAAATCAAGTTTTGCAAAATCGTCTACCAAAACACGGTGCACAGAGGCTAGAGATGTTCGATATACATCGGTGCATCGGAAACATCGAGATCTAGAATTCGATGTATCGATTTTACCCGATGCATCGAACGCTTCCGATGTTTCTCGATGTATTTTTATGGATGAATCGAAAACTCTTCCATTAGTATAGGTATTCTTCCTGTGGAATAATAATTTTCTTGATCATATAATGCAGTCTTAAGGAGCGAGTATCATGTATACGTGACAACTGACAAATTGAGAACGGTGGAACGCACCGTAGAAAGCAGGACGAATCCTTAATGAACAAAGAAACAAATTAAATAAGATTTTGTTTTTACAAAGTTTGGATAAAAAATACTGGGACTCGGACTAGTGTTGTGCTGTTAAATACACTGACATTTTATGTAATAATATAGTTTATATGTTCACAACTATTAACGTTCGAATTTTTTATTATTTTTATATTTTATAACTTTTCAGGATATTATATTTTCTGTTTTCATGATGTTAATTTAAGAATAAACAATACTAAATTTGTTTGTTTCGAATCTAAGCTAAATTCCAGTAATCAGCACATTTGATTGATATTTTGGTATCATTCGAACTGAATCGAATTTCAGAAAAAGTGGATACATCGAAAACATCCATGTTTTTATTCGATATATCGATGTGCATCGATGCTGCTCCTTTCCGATGCATTAGATCGAAAAAACCATCGATGTTTATTTATGGTGCACATCCCTACACAGAACAAAATATGACGAAAACAAAAGAGTAAGAACGAAATAGAAGAGGTGAAATTGGTATCATGGAGAAAAGCAGTATGAATCAACGCCATTTTAATTGAATCGACCAATCAGCATAGGCACGTGGTATGTGAGTAACAAAACCACGCCGATTTTCCTACTCACTCTCGATGGAATTTCCCCTTAGAATATGTTGTTGGGTGGTGTCGCTAGTATTACCTAGAAGTAGACTCTTTGTCAGAACTGAAAGGTCATCTTGGGCTTATTTTCTTCTACGTTGAGTGTTCCGTGGTAAAGCGTCGGTTCACGTTTTGATAAGTTAGTAGCTAGCTTGTATTTTTGTAAAAAGTTTTATAAATCTACCACTATGGCGAAGAAGAAGGTTGATGAAGAATCTGAATCCGAGGAAGAGTATTCAGTCGAAAAGATTATTGACCGCCGAGTCGTTAATGGTAAGGTGGAGTATTTTCTCAAATGGAAGGGCTACAAGGATGAAGACAATACTTGGGAGCCGAAGGAAAACCTTGATTGTCCAGAGCTGATCGCCGAGTTTGAGAAAAACAGAAAACTGAAAGCAAAAGCGGGCGGCGGCAAAGAGAAGAAACGTCAGCGAGAGAACTCTACATCATCAGTGGATTCGGATTCCACAAAGTCCGACAAGAAAAAATTACATCGCTCAGCATCGCCAGAGTCTGACGATGAAAAGGAAGATTCAGGATCGGAACCAGAGAAGACGAAAAAGAAACGAAAATCAGCCCCAAAATCTAAGAGAGTAGCGGATTCCGACGATTCCGATGACGACAAACCGAAGAAAAAGAAGAAAGAGGAAGCACCGCCTAAGAAGAAGACAGATGACGAAGATGAGTCGTCTAAAAAACCGCGAAAATCGGAAGACAAAAAAGCAGGCAAAAAAGAAAAATCCGCCTTCGAGAAAGGGCTGGAGGCCGAGAAAATTATCGGTGCTTCCGATACCACTGGTCAACTTATGTTTTTGATGAAATGGAAGGACTCGGAGGACACAGACTTGGTGTATGCAAAAGAAGCGAATGTCAAATGCCCCCAGGTGGTGATACGGTTCTATGAAGAACGAATTGCATGGCATAGTCCTGAAGAGTCTACTTAGGTATCTTCAATTTGTTCCAACTGTTGATAAATTTTAGTTTGACAAACATTTTTGAAAATGCTCATTTCTAAAATTGCATTGTTTTGCCTATTAATAAAACAATTGTCCCAAAGTAGACTTTCAAATATATGTTTGACAGAGTTTCAAATGGATTTTATAGTGTTGTATACAAATGTTTTAAAATCCAACATTATATTAATTTTTATATGTAGTAAAAAATATTCAAACCTATGTTATGTTAATTAAAGTATTTGGTATAGTATTGATTTGCAGGTATTTTGATGGCTACAAGATATATGGAAGATCATCATGTCAACATTTTGAGATCAATTGATTGAAAAAATAATTTAAATTGCTTTCATATACATCTGTCATAGGAAATTTTCCTTTTAAAACAGTTCTAGCATAACCTTTTATAAAATACTCTCGATCAAAACGTGTTTTTTATATCTAGGGAAAGTCACATGTATTATTCTCTTTGTGCAGTTTTAAAAGTCAAAATCCATGTCATCCAGAATTAAACCTGCTCCTGTAACCAAGATACATAATTTCATTCTGTATTTTAAATAAATATTGTTTAAGTCAGTGTGTTATTCAATGATATTCCCCAAATTTCAAAATAAAAAATTGTGTATTACCACTAATAAATCGTTCATAGGGAGAATGATTTCACCTATCCAATACTGACCACAGTGAGTGAGCAGCACCAAGTTAGTGTTGCTGTTTACACCTATGATATCAGAGTTATTGCCTACCAATTAGTGGCATATATACGAGCCCCTTCCCACTTCAGTTGGCCCAACTATTGAAATCTCAGTTTTTTTCTTATCAAACACAAATAATAAAAATGTAGCAGGGTGTTATAGGTTTAAAATATTAACAATGAATATTTTGATAATATATAGTAGAAAATACCAACTTTATCACTCCCTAATCAAACTTGCAGCATAAAAATAACGCATGTTGCAATTACAGCATATCAACCTATTTTCATTTCAATGCAAAATAAGTCTATAAGGCATAGGTGGCTGTGAAAAATAAAAGCCATGACTATTGTTTTTATTAATCACAGCTGTCAGAATTCGTTTAAAATAGTTTTGGGTAGTTAAGGTTTTCAAAATGGGTAGAGGAAATGTTATTAGCGAGTAAATTTGGTTACTGATAATTAAATTTTTTAAACTCAGAAATTGCAACTTTGTTAGACTTATCGCGGTACAGTGTGAGAAATATTGCTAGAATATATAACGTAACTGGTTCAGTTAATATTAAGCCACGATATGTGAAAAAAGTAATATCACAAATGCCGACTGAAGAGCATTAAGAAGAATAATCGTGGAAAACAGGCGTGCCAATTATTTACAATTAAGTGCTCTGTGGAGTGACGCTGTTGGAAGGAGAATTTCGAGGTCCTCAAACTGGGATTTAGCACTTGCAAGGTAAGTTTTCATATAAAAAAAAAAGTGAAGTAAAAACCATAAAGTTGCACAACTTGTTTATAGGCCAAAGAAAAGCCACTATTAACTCCACTGGAAAAGAAAAATCGGCTTAGATGGGCTAAAGAACATAGACAATGGACACCAACAATGGTGTGCAATACAATGGAGCACAGATACAAACAAATATTTGGCAATTTTAGAATAATCGCTTTTACCAGTGATGGAAGAAAATAATGTACCACTTTTGAAATGGGTTTCTAGCAGTCCAGATCTGTCACCTATTGAAACTTTGTGGCACGAGATGAAAAAGGTTCTACGACAACATCCTGCTCGTACAATCACCGAACTGAGACACAAGCTTCAAGAAATATGGGATTGTTTTACACCAAATTTTTGCCAAAACTTGGTAAACACTATGCCCCAAAGAATTTCAGCTGTAATAAAAAATAAAGGTGATGTTACCCAATGGTAATCTTTCAATTGTTGCTTTGTTAACTTCGCGCATTTATTAGCACATTGTTTATTTGTTCAGATGTTCTATTAGTTATAGGTCTAAGTGATTTCAAATATGTAGGTATTTTTTACGACTAGAGTGTATCTAAAATGTTTTTGAGAAAATAAATTGTTTTAGAAGTAAATAGTTTCGTCATGTTTAGTTTATAAAGACATATTTTGGTACAAATCTTGAAGTGGGAAGGGGCTCGTAACGTAAAGGTACACCGCTTTGGGTCCTCTTAGGTTTGCATTCCTATTAGTGCTAACATTGTAGAAGCTGTGACAATAGGTACATACATGTATCTATGGTTTAGATGTAAAATGGTAATATAGACAGAAAACTTTAAAAATTCGGATGAAAACATCAACTAAATTTGTATTGTTTTCTGAAAAAAATTCATTTGGTGATCCTTGTAAATACTGCTTGCCCGCCAATGTTGTGGCGCCATTTTGAATTCACAATGAGATTATTTATTCTTTATTCCTCGTTTTGTACCCCCGTTTAACTTTTGCGTTTTGTGATCATTGACAGCTCGTTGAAACGTAACCTCACAATATTTAACCAGAATAAACAAAAATCGATTTTTATTTAAAATATTAATAAAATAGACCTACTGAACACAATAATTGTTGTTATTGGATACTGCAAAAGACAAAAATATAGAGGTAAGTATTTATTATAAATAATTTTACGGAATATATCGCTAAGAAGACCCATCCAAGTCCTAACAACCGAGGAGAATCCTGATTTTACTTCTAAAAATAAAAGTACAGACGCTTTGGCTCGTGGCCAAAATATCAACGGTACGTTTACATTACCAACCTATCACTACCGATTTATCGTATCCCTATATACTCGCATTCACACCTATCTGAGAAAACTAGTTAGGCAATAAATGTATGTAAGCATAAGTAAGAGTGATTCTGCTGGTAAAAAATGGAACGTCGATATAAAAGGGGCAGCAGTCGTAGTGCGGGAGGGACCTCCATGGGGAGTGACCACACTCCTCCTCAAGATCCTAGAGAGAAAGTGAAAGATTGTTGTAGGAAGATTATCGCTTTTATGTGCACTCAGTTAAGTATTATCTTTGAATTTGTATAATTTGCTCACTTAAACTATGATGAAACCTCTATAATGATATATAACACATGGTTCAATAAGTCCCAGGACTAACCATGAAAACAGCATTTGTTTCGCAAACTTTATTTTTATTCATCAACGTAATAGCCAGCAAGTTCTCGATACCATGCTTGAAGAAAAATTTGTCCTTGGTGTCAAAATAAGCTTCTGTTGCAGCGATAACTTCCTCTTTTTCCCTGGAGCATCTTTTTGAGATCAGTAGTTGCTGGGGGTTAGACCTAGAGAGTACGGTGGATGGGGAAGCAGACTGAAGCCAAACCCGTTCAATTTGGCCATTGTTTTTATTGACTTGTGACACGGTGCACTGTCCTGATGAAAGATGATTTTTTTCTTCATGTGCGGTCGTTTTTTTTTGCGATATCGTCCTCTAAACGCATCAGTAACTCTATGTAATAATCGCTGTTGATACTTTTACCTTTTTCAAGGTAGTCTATGTAAATTTTACCCTGTGCGTCCCAAAAAAATGACGCCATGACTTTGCCAGCTGACTGCAGTGTTTTTGGATGCTTCGGTCAGCTTTCACCAGCTGCCCGCTACTCAGCTGACTGATTCCAGAGTAAAATGGTGGTTCCATTTTTTGTCTACTGTCACATACTGATGCAAGAAATCCTGTTGTCAACTCGTTGCTTTTGTTCCATTGTGAGAAAACGCGGCACCCATTTCGGAATAACTTTTTTCATACTCAACTTTTCGTGTAAGATGGTAAATGCACTTCGGGTTGATATGTGTACCATCTCAGTAATCTCACCAACTTTCAGTTTGCGGTCATTCATCTCGATTTTTAAAACCTGCTTAACATTTTCCGAAGTTACTGCTTCATTTGGCGTACCCGAGCATTCCGCATCCTTTATATTAGTACGTCCGCGTTTAACATCAGCATACCGCTTTCAAATCGTTGTTTTCGACAGAGCAGAGTTCGGATAACATTTTTCAAACCATTGCTGAGCTTGCATGGTATTCTTTCCCATTAAATAACAATGTTTCATCAACACACGAAATTCGTTTTTGTCCATTTTGGAAACAAATCCAAAAGTAACCTCACTTTCACCGCAGTATCTTTGCTGTTTGTGGTGCGATTTTTGCGAAAATTTCACAGGTGTCAGATGTTAGCTCTTTCGACAAATGAAGTTGACTTGTCATTAGTATCCCATTTGTGGGTGAGTCACTGGACTTACTGAACCATGTGTTATTATTATATTTGATCTCGATGTAGGATTTCATTTTAATATAGTTTTAATACTGTATTAAAACATTTTCAGGGAAAGAAGGCATGTAACAAAAGTATTAGCACAAAAAGACTAACATGATATTATAAATTAAAGAGATACACAATTTACTTCTCTGCTAAAACTATCAATTATTTTAACATACCATTGTTGTTTCAAAAAATGCCAAAATATTGTAATATTTGGCAGTTTTGATAATAAAATTCATAATCCATTTCACATAATAAGTACTGATTCCAAAATTGAATTAAAGGCAGATATTCCTGCTAAATTTTGTAGAAATTGTAAAATAGCAGGGGATAGTCAAAATTAAAATTGTTAAATGGTTTCATTATCTTTAGTAGTAGTATGCTACTGTAGCTTAATGTAATATTATATGAGTGATTTCTTTATTTAGTATGCCTTTGTAATGTTTTGAAATTGGTATACTAGGTAGGTGTAGGAGCTCTAGTTTTTGGCTATACACTTGTGGGAGCAGTCAGTTTCATGCACATTGAAAAGGGTGGAGAGAATGTCAAATTGAAAGAAGTAACAAAGCTGAGAGGGGTATATTCACACAAGCTGTACCAGGTTGCAGAGATGTGTAACATTTTTGAGAAGAGGTAAATATCCAGGCATAATGTGGCAGTGGTTAATCAGAGCACAGTTTGGCAAACAAAGCTGTAGTCACATTTATATGATCATATAAACAGCGCCATGCAAGAGTCACTTTTTAACTAGAACCTTATTTGTAGTAGGCAAAAAATAGCTTTGACAAATTTTCATAGATGATGCTAAGGTAATCAATTTTACGTTGGATCTTCAGTTAGGAAGGTGCAATATTAGCTCTGAATTTGAACATGTTGAAAGCACATCTCATATATTTTCCTTGTGATAGGGTTTTTATAAGAGAAGCTGACTATGTACTAAAAGAGTACCAGAACCTTGTAGTAGAAGTATTCCGCCATGGTTACGACGAACGCAAGATGAGCGACGTGTGGACATTCCCAGCAGCTCTTATGTACTCCTTAAGTATCATCACGATGATCGGGTATGGCAACATGGTGCCAAAAACTGCATATGGTAAACTGGCCACTGTCATATATGCACTTTTTGGGATCCCCCTGTATATACTCTACTTCCTCAATGTTGGAGACGCACTTGCAGAGGGGTTCAGATGGATTTACAGGTAGATTTGCCTTTACATTTATGTTAAAAACTTAACTCAATATTCAAAATACATGTACCCACTTGCTAGGTAATGCTAAAATATTCGAAAATGAGAGCCGAGTCGGTTTTGTTATCTTT